GGGGAAGGGGGGAGAGGACGTGTTGCTTCGATGGCCGAGGCCGAACTACTGACGCGCGCGTGGGCTTTTGCTTGGGCTTATGTCCGAGCCCGACGACGGGGTCGCGTCAGCTAGTCTAATTGGACTTCGAGTCAAAACTAAATAAAAATCCCCCCCTTCTCGGGTCCAGAATGATCGTGTTCGGAGAATTTGAGTTAGTGGCTGGTCGGGCGGGAGTCTTTTCTTTGCTTTTGGTGGTGTTTTATTGGATGTTCGGAGCGTGTGGCTTGTGTTGGTGGCGGGGGGTATGGGATGGTGGTGGTGAAGGGCGGTTGCTCGATGCCAACGCCGCGGCACCACCGTGCAAAGAGAGGGATGCGTGAAGGGGGGAAAGAAGAGCTCGGCTAAAGGTTACCCATGCTGCCTTCTTCGAGGTCGACACGGACGACGGCGGCTGCTGGGTCGGAAGTGAAGTTTCGGCGAAGAAGCTTGAAAGAGCATAGGAAGACGAAAGCGAAGGAGGGGAGAAAAAAATTTGCTCGTCCTTGCTGATACGTGAGGTCACTTTTTTTAATTTTTTCCGCAAGAAAGATCCCATGTGGTTACCGGCAGCTGCATTGTTGCCGCTATGACCGCCACGGGCCGCGGGCCGCGTGGGTTGCGGACGGGTGTTGGGCGGCATGATTATTTCGGGAGGCGTGTGGTTGGTCGGCGCGTGTGGTGCATGCGGGTCCCCCCCGGTGCCCTCTTGGTCTGCCTAGCACATGCATCGGCTCGGGCCTCAATCAACGTGCGATTGACGCGGCTGGATGCTGATGGAAGGTCGATGATCGTGTGATGCGAGAAGGCGATTGCCGTGACCGAGATGCGCATGGTTTTTTGGCGGATTCGGCGGCTGATGGGGAAGCGGAGGCGCCGATGGCGGAGGTGGTGGTGACCATGGTGAATTGGGAGAAGACTGATTGGCTGCACCGCTGGCCTACTTGTGGATCGAGTGGGAATGCTTGTTAAAATGAAGGGGCTCCCTGGCATTAATTCTCTGGCTCTCTTATGCAGTGGCTTTCGCTGCTGTCTGCTCAGGATGGCTGAGCTTCAAACTCCGCCATCACTGAGTCCCTGCTGATGACTGCTTTGTCCCGCATCTTCCTATCCACTCTCACAACCACGCCTTCTTTGATTTCGTTCCATGGAGCCCAAGGAGATCGTACAGGTTGTGACAGCTAACATAGAATTGATAATCATGGACAGTGACTCACTCTATCAGTTTTATGGAGCCGTAGGGTATGAGGCTGAGGACTTGGACCAGTCCAGGTCGAGGAGTCACGAAGTCCCCTGTCATCCCTTCCTGCTTGTATATGATGCGCGAATGACATGACTTTTCTCAACGCCAAAGATAGGTATGGTTGTCCATATGTAAGCTGATCGGTCTTATTCTCCACACTTCACTTCCACACTCGATCTGCGGACTTATTTTGTCCAACGCGTGGGTCATCAACCGATATCCTTCACAGTGACCTTCACTTGTTGGGAAACGGCATGATAGTTCGCACTGCCTATTTGACTGAGGCCCGAGACCTGCACTTGGCTTGGTCCGCGAGCCTTGCGTCTACTCCTATGGCGCTGCCTAGCAACGAAAGTTTATTAGTGCAACGAGACCAAGTTCTCCGGCGCTAACGATCAGCATCATCACCCAATCAGGCCATGGCTCAGCTTTAGTCGAATCGAAAATAAAGAAAAAAGCACGTGTCTGCCTCCGCAATCCAGAAGTAGTGGGTCTATTAAACGCAAAACTCACATACCGCACTTGTCGACACGGTACCAAAGGGTGGAAACAGACAAGGCCCATGGAGCGAGAAACCGCGATGCCACTTTTGGTTCACACAGGTAGTCTCTGCCCATGGCTCGTGTGTGACCCTGTGGTCAAACCTCAGCATATTTACACAGCGCACTCTCCTACACCTTAACCTCAACAACTCCTCCAGCAACACACTTGCACCACTCAGCCCTCCGCCGAAAAGGCCCTCCACCTACTTGTCGAAACGGGCTCCCAGATCTCCCGCGACATGGTTTTTGCGTTGACTACAGTCGTACTTGTTTTGCTTGGCGTCAGCGGTATAGTTGCAGGGCTCATCATGCTCATCCTCATCCTTGATCGGACCATGAGAGGACACGGAAACAACATCGTAACAGCCCCTGCAACGGAACTCAGGATTTTTCTAAATCCGATGGCTGCGAGGTAAAGTGTCCCACACAGAGTATGAAGTCGATTGTTCTTTAGATTATCCTGACCCGAGACCATGAATAGGAACCCACACGTCAAAGCCGACGAAGAGAACGGAGGCTTACCCGCTCCACCGCCTCCCATCTATAGAGCCTATGTGAAGCCCTAAATGGGCCGCTAAGCACCCATTATTCGGACAAAACGCGATTTTAAAGCGCGATACTATAGTTTAAGGAACGAAAGGCTTAGATAATAATAGTTAAGAAAAAGACAAGATATACTCTGCTTATTACGTAATATATATATCTAGTAGTGATTTATATGGTTTTTACCCCTGTGTACGCTTGTTAATGGTGCCCTTTTTAGCATTATTAATAATCTGTAAAAGTCACGTAGCCTCTTACTCTACAAACCTTCTTTCTACCCGACCCATTTTATAGTCCCACCCCCCCGATTGCGCACCATCCCTAGCCAAAGTTTTTAACTTCTTGTCCAGGGTCTCTCCGGAATTCATGGTTTATAGACCATTCAGTTAATAATACTGCCTCACTATCTACATTCTTTGTAACGCACTAGCGCCGCTCATGTTCATTGTCCATCATGGTAATCGGCATTTTGATCCGCTATGACGTAGTCGAAGCACTCCCGTAGCAGGCTACATAAAGGGTCCACACTACTCCCAGAGTAAGTTCTTAGGACATGCTTCCTCCGGCTGGAACAAGCCTGCGTTGAAAAATAACGCTAGCATACTCCTTCTCTCTAGCGCACCGCCACAAGCAAAACGCCAGCGTACGAATCAGCAGAAACAAAAAAATATCATCAAACCTTCCCGTCACTATCTCCACAGCTGAGCCGGGCCAGCTTGGACCCTGATGAATAACGATGGGCATTATTAACGGCAGCGGTAGCGACGGCGACCATCAGCGACACAGTCTCAAGCCATTGTCAACATTGTCGCAAGTACCATCCGTTCCCTCAAGTTCCCTGAAGGTTCGATTTCTGGACGGGAACGTTGCGTATGTGCAAAGCTTCAACCGCACCACCCAGCCAAGTCTTCTTTACAGCACAGCGCGCGGATCCAAAGACGGACGGACGGTCTTAATCTTCTCATATCAACTGGCATCATTCCATCTATCTAGAACAAACGGTCCCAAAGAAAAGAAAAGAAAAAGAACAAGCGATCACCAGTACTAATAACAACCGCCCAAAGCAATCAAAACAACGGCGCGCGGACAAGAGAGAGGGAGAGAAAGCAATGACGCAAAAAAAAAAAAAAAAAGGCAGTTCTCCTCAGCGGAACAAGGGTCTTCCATTTAAACTACAACCAAAAATCAATGACATGATAAGAGAAAAAAAAGGGAAAAGAAAAAAAAAAAAGGCGAGCCGAGTCTACTACTTCTCCGCGCTTTGCCCTCCTTACCCTGGCCAGCCCCATCCCCCCACCCCCTCGTGAAAGGGCAAAAACACTACTACCAACTGATTGACCGACCGACCAACCAACCAACCACGTTTCTTGAATGACGAGTCAGTGATGCTGACGATGGTGGCACACCAAGGAAATGTTCACAGAAAAGAAAAACTAAAGAGAAGAAAAAAAAAATGAACGCCATTATCCATCCATCGTCCCTCCTCCCTCCTTCTCCATCGACGTGCATACCCACATTGCCGCCTCTACCGGCCTTCTCACCTGCCCTCCTTCCCTCCTTCCCTCCTTCCCTCCTTCCCTCCTTCCCTCCCTCCCTCCTCCAACGAGATTCAGAAAAACGAACAATGAGAAAGAAAAACCCCCCACACTTCTTCTACCTATAGCGTCGACCCCCTATCAAACTCAATAACATTCCTACTCGCACTGCTCTCCGCCCTCTCCCTCGTCGTCATCCCGGGCTGCAAGGCCTCACTGTTCGCGGCCTTCCCCTCCGCCGCCGTGGGCGACGACGGCTCCGCATCGATCAAGTTCGGCAACAACGAGTCGTCATGCTTGGCCCTCTCCTCGACGTCCTCCGTCTCAGCGCCCTCGAGCAGGTCCCTGTCCCTCTCGTGCAGGCTGCGCGTCTCGGCGCTGATGCTGTGCTTGCCGTCGTACTCGTCGTCGTCGTCGTCGTCGACGCCGCCACGGCCGCCTCCGCCGCCGCCGTTGCTGTTGCCCGCGACGCCGACGCCGCCCTGGCCGCCGTTGGCGCGTTCCATCTCGCGCTGCGCCTCGTCCATGCGGCGCTTGACCTCGGCCGCCACGCGCATGCCGTCCGAGACGATGTTGTCGAGCATGCCGCGCAGGCCCTTGCCGGGCGGGACGATGCCGCCGGTGCTGGGGACCGAGGGCAGGGACGGCGAGGCCGGGCTCGCGGATGACGGGTTGCGGCCGGCGTTGGCGAAGGTGGTGAGGTTGGCGCCCGACGACGTGGGCACGTCCGAGAGGCGGAACGAGTTTGCGAAGGCGCGGTCGAAGAAGTGCTCGAGGTTTTCGTCGGCGAGGATGACCATGCGGAAGGTGGGCAGCGTGATGTGGAGCGGGTGGGCTGGGTCCAAGGCGAGGTTGGCCGATGTGGCGTCGGGCTTGGGTGACTGGAGGGGCTCCTCTGGGAGCGGCGTCTCCTCCTTGGGAACAGGCTTGGCCTTTGGTTCGTCGTCGACGTCGAGCAAGTTCTCTTCGTCGTCCTCGTCGCCAATGCTGAAGTCATTGGCTGCGTCGGCTACACCTTGGTTCTTGTTAATTTCGTGATCAGGATCAGCGTATTCGAAGCAGCGTCTGATGAAAGCCGAGATACTGTTGAGGATTGACTCGTCGGCCCTTCCTTCAGGATCATCTGCCAGCGCCAGCTCGTTTGTAGACGCTTTCGGGGAGCTGTCATCGCCCAGTCCTCGTCTCGTCAGGAACAGTAAAGCCTCCGAGATCCTCAAAATACCCTCGCGGTCTACTCTGCCGTCGTCATCGTCATCGTACAGCTCGAAGAAATACTGGATATTCGCCATAATGTCCTTGTTGCCCTTTACTGCGGCCAATCCGGAAACGACGTCTTGCAGGTTGAGTGTCTCTTCGTCTCCTTTGTTCCACTTTTGGAAGATCCGTTGCATAAATTCGTGATCCGCGGGCTCGGGACCAGATCCCCACTGAGAATTCACCTTGGGCCGGTTACCTCCAAAGTATGAGTGCACTTGCTTCTCTTGTTCACCCGGTGGTGTCGGGGAATCCGTGACAGCCCATTTGGCGATACCTTTACATGTCAGCACGTACTGAAGAAGACTCGTGAGACGGTGCTCAACATACCTGCAAGGAACTCCCTGAACGCATCATAGTCCATCTGCGTAGGGCTCGGACCAAGAGCAACTCTGCCCTTCTCGACGTCACCCCCGAACGAGAAGCCAGTGATGAGTTGAGAGGCTCTCATTTTACTCGCTCTTTCTTTCCGTTCCTCTTCTTGCTTCGCTTGCTGGGCCCTTTGCTGGCGTTCGTACAGGACGCCGTAGAAGCGGTCGTACAGGAACCCGAGATCGTTCATGCTCAACTTCTTGCTTTCCGAGCCGAGGTTCCGTAAGGAAGTCCGCTTTGCGAAATTCTCAATATTGTCCAGAACGGCGTCCTTGTGTTTCGCACGCTGCTCAGAAATAGTGTTCTGTGTAATCCCAGCAAATTCCTTGAATGCAATCACCATGAGCTCTTGGAACCTCGTAACCGCCCTCAGCTTGGGGTTGTCCGACTTGGGATGAGCCGACTCGTCCAGGCGAGCAAAGTAAGTTTTCAGCACGGAAATAAAAGTACCATCATCGGTAGCATCCAGCAGCTCTTCTCCGTTGATGCGCAAAATCGCGAGTCCGATCTGGAACAGAACCTTAGGGCCCTCTAGGAAGAAGACATCCAGAACGCGGAAGGCAAAAATCAAAGGCATCGAGTTGATGTAAAGGGAAAGGAACCAGGGGAGGGATACGACTGATAGTTGAATATCGTATTTCTGAAGGTGCTCCCAGAGAATAGGCATGGTCTTTTCGACAAGGGATTCGAAGACTCGTTGGTCGAGTAGGGTTCCGTACATGGTGGTGGAATAGTATCCTGGCAGTAAGCGGTCGCATAGTATGGAAAGGAGGAAGAAGGCTTGCGGTTCCGACATGTAGCTGCAAAAATCAGTCCCGTCAACACAATCAGCACCGAGCGAGCCACATACATCAGAAGCGCAGCCACAACAATGTTCATAGCTTGACAATATCCGACCTCGAGGTTTGTCCAGCTGTACGCAGTCAAGACACGCCTCAGGCGATCGATGCCCTCATTACTCTGAAAGCCAGGATATTCCGGCAAACTTCTGTTAAGATCCTTTTCAATCTCATCTATAGCAAGCGATTCCCGTCCGGTGTTCTTTGCGAGCGTCTCCTCGTAGAGTTTGGGGTTTTGTAGGCGGAGAACGAATGACCCAGAGGTAAGTTCCCAGATTTCGCCTCTCAGGCGGTTTGGTAGACCGACACGGATGAGCTTGTGGAAGGTGGGTTGGCGGATGAGGGTTGCGTTTCGACCGTTCTCTGCCACGAGTTAGCTCAACGTCGATCCAGAACTTGGAGACGGCCATACCTCGCAGATACTCCCGCCATAGCCTTATCTTGGTTGGCTCGCGCAGCTTCCGCGGGTTGCCGGGATACTTGAACTGCATTCCCAGGCCGGTGTCGGGCGGCTGGCGTTTAGGGGTATCGCCATCCTTTGCGCCGGCGTCGTCGGAGAGGAGGTACTCGGAGTAGCAGGTCTGCACGACGGTCTTGAGGTTCTCGACGTCCTTGACTCCCTCGCGCAGGCCGCGCTTGAGGGCATCGCAAAAGCGCTCGCACTGCTGCCTGCTTCCGGCCAGCTGTATGGTGAGCTTCTGCGGCACGGCGCCCTCCTTCTTCGCGCGGTTGGCGTCGACCATGCCATTTATGGTTGTGATGGCGAGGGCAAACATGTAGCTCTGGCTGTGGAGGCGCTCGACGCGGCGGACGGCGCAAAGGGGGATTGTGAAGCCATTGCCTGCAGGGCCGGCGCCGTGGGTCTGGCCGGTGAAGACGGAGCTAGCGCTCAGGCTGGCGGTGGAGATGAAGCTGGAGCCCTGGGTGGAGAAGCAGAGGAACTGCTCGCTCAGGTGGAGCTTGCCGACATAGTGGTTGCCCTGGTGGCGGTCGGGGTGAGGGCCGTCGGTGCTGGTGCGGGTGGTGTGGTGGCCGGGCAGCGTCAGCTCGGCGGCGATCTCCTGGAGGGGGTTCTGCGACTCGGGCAGGCGGAATTGGAGGCGGAAGAGGACGGCCTTGGAGGGGCGGCGGTCGGAGCCCGGGCTGGCGAGGGCGAGCGACGGCTCAATGAACTGCTGGGCTTTCTGCACCAAGTTCGAGAGGTTGAACATGGTCGTGGATGGAGGGGCTCATTTAGCTGGCTCGGGGGTCAGCGCGCACGTCGGGGTCAGGGCGGAGGGCGCGCTGACTGACGCTTCATACTACGTGGCAGGCAAGACGGAATGCTCGGCGAGCGCTGGGTGGGAGCTTGGTATGTAGGGCTGAGAAGCGGCTGTGACACCGAGAAGGTCGCCGTGGACCTTGCGGAGCATTCCCGTGCTGCGATCGGCGAAACCGCGGAGGTCAGCACGAAGGATGACTTCACCCCCAATACGAGTGAGTGCGCCTGCGTCATCTCGCCCCTGCCAAAACCGCGTCGAAGGAAACCATCTGCCTCGCCGAGACGGGCACCAGCGCTGTATGCGCAGCTGGCTCCAACACCCGGACCAAATTTGGAATCGCGAACGCCGACAAACCGCGCTCAACCCCCCAGGAAGGGTGTGTAGCGTACTTTACTTTGGTGGGGCTCATATGTATCTTCTGTGACCTGTTGAGCCGGCCCTTGTCGTGGCCACGCTGCTGTACCTACCTAGCCCTCTCCCCACGACCCCTGTCACGAGACGTGCATCCGCCGCAATGAGGGAACACAGCCATGATACCGCATGAATTTTATCATCCTGCCTGCTGTTGTTGTTGATACAGTAGCCAATGCCCGTCCTATCCCATGCAGGAAACCCACTCTGACACCGCACACCACCAACGCCCTTTGCATGCCAATGTGCCGTCTACTCCGGGTCTGCCGCCAGCTGCGATTCGTCCACCTCCTCGCCAGGCATACGCCCCGTCTTCTCGATCTCCTTGACCTTGGCCTGGCCCTCCTCCGTCGTTGCATCAATCACACCCTCTTCCAAGCTGAGCATGCCGCCGTTGCCCAGCTGCTCCACCACCTGCTCTGCCTCGTCCACGCTCATCTTGGCCAACACCTTGTTCACCTCATCAAGCTTGCCGCTCTCCAAAGCCCTCTGCAGACCCGGCGGGAAGCTCTCGAAAATCGTTCGCGCTATCTTGTTGTCATCGCTCATCGACTCCGGATTCGACTCATCCAGGGGCAAAGGCGTGCGGATGTTGATCGTCGTGTTGGGATCAACCGCGTGCAACTGGATCTGCTCGACCCCTTCGGCCTCGGGGTTGTTCTTGCGCTCCTCGACAATCTCCGCCGCGCGCGTGTTGATGCGCCTGTAGGTGTTATCGACGTCATCCCGGAAGAGCTTCCGCGCTTGGTGGTCTTTGGTGGTGATGCTGCATTCCTGTCAGAACATGTTTGCATCCTCTAAGCCGTCTGCGATACTTACCGTTTGAAGAAAAGCTGCACGCCGTCCTTTCCGAGCTGGCGGCAGTACTGGATGAGCAGCGCTGCATGTACGCACTGGTGCGCATACGCATGCTTGCCCGCCATCTCCGCGTCGAAGGCCTCGACCAGCAAGCCATCCGTGTCCCTTTCCTTGAGGATGTTGGGGTGTGCCGAAATGAATTGCAGGCTGGCCCGGTAATCGTCCATCTTGATCCTAGCGAATTCCTTCGCATCAGGGCTGGCCTGGACATTATCGGGGTCATCATCCTCCACATCCGCATCAGCACCAGAAGATTGGCCAGTGTCGGCGCGGGTCACGTCTGGCCGGCCAGGGTTGAGGAGCTCGACCGATTCACCCTGTTGCGCAGGCTTGGACGCGGACGAGGCATCCTCACCCTTCTTTACGTTCGAGTAGTCGAAGCCCGTGTGCATGTCATCACTGGTAATGTGCCTCTTGTCCTCCTTCTCCAGCTCGGCAAGCTTGGCCAGGAGCTGCTTCTGCAGGTCAGCCACCCGATCCCGGTGCGCTTGCGTCTGAGTGATGAAGCCCTCGAAGCGGCTCTCGGGCTTCTTCTCGTCTACCTCCTTCTTGACCTCGTCAATCAGGGCGGCCAACATTTGTGACCACGTCGGCTTGTGCTGGATCTGTGTGTGCACACCCTCGGGAGGCGGCGGGGGCTGGTCTTGCGACGGCTCGACGGCAGACTCCATCATGGACTGGAAGACAAGCTGGTCGGCGTTCTCGGGAGAGGCCGTGTCTCTGTGAGACTTCAGGGCAGTGAGGAGGGTGTCGATACGCTCCATGAGTCCATCGTTGATGATACGCTCGTACTTCAAGGTGGTGATCTGGTGGCGGCGCTGGGCGCGCTCCATGTGGATCTGCTCCTGCTTCGCGCGGATGAAGGAGCGTTTATCGACATTGGGGTGCACTTCGACGTCCGAGTCGTCGCTGAGTTCCAGCGCGTCCTAGAGCTTCTTGTCAGACATGGTCGTACTTTTGAGACAGCCTTCACATGCAGAGCAAAAGCATGAGCTTTAGGCTCGGAATGCGATCGCATGCAGCAAAACTGCAGCTTCCCAAGCGATGCTGCACTTACCCATTTGCTGTAGTCAATAGGCATGCTGAGCCGTGGTAGAGAAGTGCTGGTGGCGGGGTGCTTCGCTATGACGAAATGCCGTCACAGAACTCCCGGGCGGTGCTGGGGGGAGCTGGCGCTGGATCAAGGCGTGTGTGGGTAGATGTGCACTGGGAGAAAGCGGCCGGAGTGCAACAGGTAAGTTGTTGTGCAGCAGGCGCGGGGCGGCTCTGAGCTTCTGCGCGATTCTGTAGACCCCACGGCGCTTCCTGCCTGCGCGTCGGCAAGCAGGGGCCCTGTCGCGGACCCGCCGCCGGCCAGACATCTTCGCGCGGCTGGTGCTGTCATCACTTCGCACCCCATCCACTATTGCGGCTGCCGCAATTCTCGAGCCCGCAACGTGCTCTCCCCCGTCATTTGTACGCGTACCATCATGTTCACGCGCGTCGCTACCTCTGGCTCTGTTTCCGACTTCCACACCATCCGTCCTTGCCGCTGGTAAGGTGTCTTCGCCCTCCCACCTCAGCCGCGAAATGCGCCGAACAATGCGCGCGTCGCGCTTCGCCTTGTCTGGGGCCTTCAGCGCCCCAGTAGCCCCCGCGAGGTCCCTCAGGCCTTTCGCTGACCTGCCAATTGCACAATGGACCGTCCCGCCGGTTGCCGCCCGCCGGCATTTCTCGTCCACGCCTTCTCCCTTCTTCCGCCACGCATCCCTCGTCCCGACAACGTCACCGGCCTGCCAACGAGCTGCTGCCTTGGTGAAACCGATTTATAGACCAGCAAATGGCTTCTCAACGCCTGTTCGAGTTTTCGCTACCTCTAGGGTCCTCGCCGAGGCTCGACAGTCGTACCAGGAAGAGATGAAGAATAAGGGCGTTGTGGACAAGGAAGACGTGGACGAGGAAGATCGAGACTTTACAAAGTCCGAAAAGGCTTCGCAAGCGGCTCAGGTCAATCTCAGCGCCAAGCTGAGTAGAGAAGGTTCCGGCAAAGGCAGGACTGGTGGCATGAAAGAAGTCGTCAGGCTTGTCAAAATCGCCAGGCCCGAATCAAAGTCACTGGGCCTTGCCTTCTTGTTCCTCCTGGTCTCGTCCACCGTTTCCATGTCCATTCCGTTCTCCATTGGAAAGATCATCGACATCGCTACCAACGAAAAGAGCAAAGCTCTGCCCTTCGACCTCGACATCACGACCTTCTACACGGCTCTTGCCGGTGTCCTCGTGCTCGGAGCCGGCGCCAACTACGGACGGATCATAATCCTCCGTATTGTCGGTGAGAGAATTGTCGCGCGGTTAAGGTCTCAGCTCTATCGCAAGATCTTCATCCAAAATGCCGAATTCTTCGACGCGAACCGTGTGGGAGATCTCATCTCTCGCTTGGGCTCTGACAGCATCATCGTCGGCAAGAGCATCACTCAGAACCTCTCGGATGGACTCCGGTCTCTTGTGAGCGGGGCTGCTGGTCTTGGCATGATGGGATGGGTTTCGTTGAAGCTTACTGCTGTGCTCGGTGTCATGTTCCCTCCTGTCGCTGTCGCTGCGTTCCTCTTCGGCAGGTACATGCGCAACATCAGCAGGAAGATCCAAAGGAATCTCGGTACCCTCACCAAGATCGCTGAGGAAAGACTTGGCAACGTCCGTACCTCGCAAGCTTTTGCTGGTGAGATCCAGGAAGTGGGACGCTACAATCGCCAGGTCAAGAGGATATTCGAGCTCGGCAAGAGAGAAGCGTTGGTGGCAGCCACGTTCTTCGGAAGCACCGGATTGATGGGCAACATCACGATTCTGGCAGTGCTTTACGTCGGTGGTGGTATGGTCAAGTCAGGCGGCATCAGCATCGGAGAGCTTTCTTCTTTCCTCATGTATACGGCGTATGCTGGATCCAGCATGTTTGGTCTGTCTGGCTTCTATTCTGAACTAATGAAGGGCGTTGGTGCTGCCAGTCGACTTTTCGAACTGCAAGACCGCGACCCTACCATCCCCCCAACTGTTGGCCAGCCGGTCAAGTCGGCACGTGGGCCGATCAGGTTTGAGAATGTATCTTTCAGTTACCCTACGCGGCCTGCTGTCACCATTTTCCAGGATCTGAACTTCGAAATCCCAGAGGGTACCAATGTCGCCATCGTCGCCCCAAGCGGTGCTGGCAAGTCGACTGTTGCCAGTCTTCTGCTTCGATTCTACACGCCCAACACGGGCAGGATCACAATCCACGGCAAGGATATCAAGGGCATGAATGCCAAGCAGCTTCGCCGCAAGATTGGCTACGTTGGGCAAGAACCGGTCCTCTTCTCTGGAACGATTGCGGAGAACATTTCCTACGGCCAGCCTCATGCAACACGCTCGGAGATCGTTGCGGCTGCAAGAAAGGCCAACTGCCAGTTCATCAGCGATTTCGTAAGTGAAGAGCATTTCCCGGGTTTGGCTCGGATGACTGACATTTTGACAGCCCGACGGCCTTGAGACGCATGTTGGCGCACGGGGCACGCAGCTCTCCGGGGGTCAGAAGCAACGCATTGCCATCGCACGAGCCCTTCTCAAGCAGCCTGACATTCTGATATTGGATGAAGCCACCAGCGCACTAGACGCCGAGTCCGAAACTCTGGTCAACCAAGCTCTTGGGGCGTTGCTTAGGGGTAACAACACCACCATCAGCATTGCGCATCGCCTGTCTACGATCAAGCGATCCGACCGCATCATCTGCCTCAGCTCGGATGGCCATGTCGCGGAAGAAGGCACTTATTCTCAGCTCTCATCGCGCCCCGACGGAGCTTTCGCCAAGCTCATGGAGTGGCAAATGAGTGGCGGTGAATCAATGTCGGCACAAAGGCGCGACAACCACGTCACGGAGAGCGAGGAAATCGAGGCAGACCTTGAGGCGGACAGTGAGGGCGAAGAGATGATGGATGACGATGTTGCCAAGACCAGAAAGGGAAATGTCACGTCAGGCGAGGTGGTGCTGGAGCGGACCAAGACGCACGATCGGTGAAAGGGAAGTTGCCTAATCGGGCAGGACTGAAACTGCCTGCGTACGGGCCGAGCCGGGACAGCGATAGCCGCAAAACCAGTCCGGCGCCAGCAAATTTTCATCGCGCGCCGATGATCGTGGAATGGTTATCCGCGCGCAGCCTGCGAGGAGTTTGCTTTAGAGGCATGTGTTTGGGTGCATTGGGCGAGGTTTGCTTTTGGTTTTGTGGGTAACTACGGACAAACGGGTGGGAAAACGCTCCCCTCTCTGCATCAGGAGAGCACAAGCTGTGCATGAGGTGATGTCTGCACCCCGGCTGCCGCCTGGACTGCGGCTGATGACGCCGACCGGAAACAACGCTCTTGGCTGCGCATCACCACGCCCTCCTCTTACCTTGTACCTTGACCTTTAGCGCTTGGCCGTGCGAAGAAGTGCCGGAATGTTGGCCGAGACGTTGAAGAGACTAGATGTATATTACCCTGCGCCTGTCCACTCTCCAAATTGCTGTACCTCGCCCCGTGCCTCTGTCGACATCCAGCTTTGCCTACGTCCCCCAACCATCTTGCATACCCAAACAGACCCACCACCCCCGCACCCCTGCTGGATCTCGTCCGAATTTCCAGAATCTTTCTTCCTACCCCACACACTAGCGACCTTTCCACCCAGGTGGCGCACCCTGCCTGCTGTTGACGTCAGACATCTCGACAGCACCGAGAGTTGAACACCAATCCACCGCGACCAGCTCCGTCCAGAACCGGATACTAGTCACCAACCAGACATGTCATCACACGTCGAGCCCGCCGCGCCCGCACAGCAGCACTTCCAACCGCCCCTCGGCGCATCGCCGCGCATAAACATCCACGACGGCGACAACAATAACAACGACAGCAGCAACAAATACGTCACCGGCAACCCGCACATGCTCAAAATCGCCTCGCACACGGCCTACCGCTCCGCCGCGCGCTCGCCCGCGTCCATCCTGTCCAAGAAGGCGTCGTGGGTCGACACCAGCCGCAACGTCTCGCTGTCGCCCAAGAACCTGTCCCGCCCCGCGTCGGCGGCGGCGAGTCCGGTGGGCACGCCCATCGGCACGCCGAGGAACAGGTCGCCGGTTGGCTCGCCGACGAGGGAGCGGTCGCCGGTGAGGCGGGGGGAGGATGGGGTGAGGGTGTTTGCGGGGATGTTGGGGGGGGGGGGGGGGGGTGGGGAGGGAAGCGCGAGGAAGGTGGTGTATGAGGGGGTGTACAGGTAAGGTTCTTTTTTTTTTTTTGGAAATTTACATCTACCTTCATACATCTTCTTCGATTGTCCCACAAAATGGAAGGAAGAGAGCCGCAGTCTTTCCCCTCTTACCAGACCAACCAACCACTGACCACCTCCCCCAACACAGCGCCCTCACCACCACCTCCGTCCCCCCCACCGGCTCCCTCAGCACCCCCGCCCACCCCACCGCCGACCAAACCCTCTTCATCACCTCCGGCCACGGCCTCTTGAGCGAGGCACGCCCCATCAAAACCGGCGACGTCGTCGTCGTGCCGGCAGGGACGCGGCACGAGTTTCTAAACACGGGCGACGCGCCGCTCGAGTTCATCGCCGTGTGCAGCGGCCCCAAGACGTCGAAGGAAGGCCGGGGCGATGCTGACGGCGACGACGATGAAGACGATGAAGAAGAAGGGGTTTTGGTTTGAAGGCTGGGAAATATAGAGTGGGGGTTATGACGATAGAGAGGAGAGAAGAACACTTGTTGCATTTGAGGCGCATATGGGAGGGGGAGGGGGGTCTGGGGCTTGCATACCATGGGGGTTTGGCACTGTATTTATATATATCGGGCAAATAGTGGCTGCGCCATGCTCATCATCAATTGATCTCCAATCATCCAAGAAACGACGGAAAGAAGAAGGAGGGCGGGAACGAAAGGGTCATGAAATATATGCCCCGGAGATGCTGGCCAAAGGGAGGGAAAAAAGGGAAAAGAAAAGAAAAGAACCTTTCCACCATTCATGTCAACGCACTACCATTCTTTCTTTTCCCAAACATCTGCCCACAACAAAAGCAAACCCAGTGCCCATTAACCACCAAACTCAACCAGACAAAGTCAACAACGACAGCAGCCCCAAGCCGCATTGTAGATGCCGGAAGCATCAAAGGAAATAAACCCGTGGTGTGGGGGCGGCGGCTTATGACCTCACAGCACGATGGTCGGCGAGAATCAAGAGGCACGTACCGATCGGATGACTTCATCCCAATCTCAAAAAAAAAAAAAAAGAACCGGATCCCTGCAGAGAAATCCGACGCTAGGTAGAAATCTTTGCGGCTGGCACGCCGTTCGGCTAAACCCTTTTTTGATCTGAATTTTTGAGAGCCGGACGAGGCGTGCGGCAGTGCCTTTTCAACGCGAAGCATTGAGATTTCGCGACATGACGCCGCTAGGTAAAGAATACCCCCGTTGCGATGGCTATCCTCTGAGTTCGACGGCCGGGCGTGCATTACGGCTGAAGCTGCGGCGATGCTGGCGAAAGCTTACACCCTCGTTACGAGGGTGCCAATGGCGGATCACTACTGTGCGCACGATCATCCGTACATGCAATTGCACTTGTACATGCCTCAGATCAGGAAAGCCATAATTGTCCAGAACCAGCAACTCCTAGTTCTTGTTGAATAAGGAAATTCCTACTCATAATCATACCCGAAATTTTGAGTACCCATCGTATCTCCGTAAAAGTACCCGCTACTGCCAGTCTAGCACGTACTCGTGGTGGCATTATAGTTACAAGTGTAGGGGGCCCGACGCAACGAGTGGTTCCAGTGCTTTCCACCAGAACTTGATCTAAGCCTGCATGCTCAGCAAAAATATAATCCTCGTGTCCATCGATACCTCTATTATAGGTTCATCCGTTCGCGAACCGATAACTTAGGTCACGGTGTAACCGCCGTCGACGCGGAGCTCAGCACCAGTGACGTAGTTGGACGCATCCGACGACAGGAACGTGACAGCGCCCATGAGATCTTCGGGCTGGCCCATCTTGCCCTGCGGGATGAGCGACGTCCACTTGTTCTTCAGATCGGGGTTCTCATCGAGAATCTTCTTCGTGCTTGGGTCTCTGTTAGAAATCATCGATGTCCCGACAATGGGCTACGGGACACTTACAGAGCGGTCAGCATGTAGCCGGGGCTGATGGAGTTCACGCGAATGTTCGCGCTGGCCCACTCGACGGCCAAACTGGCAGCCAAGTGACGGACAGCAGCCTTGGCAGCGTTGTACGGAGCCTGAGGCTGGGGAACGTTGACGATGGCGCCAGACATGGAGCCGATCATGACAATGCTGCCAGGAGCCTTCCTCTCCATCAGATGCTTCGCAACGCCGACTGCGAAGAGGTATGTTCCATCAACATTCACACCCCAAAGCTTCTGCATGCGGTCGTGCGGGTAGTGGATCGCATCGAAGTTCTCCGTAAAGCCGGCGCTGGTGACCAGGTTGTCGATCTTTCCGTGTTGAGCCTATACCACAAGTCATTATTATTGTACGAGAAGGAAGGTGGGATTGGATGAAAGGTTGTAGCAGCTTTCTGTGATCATCCGACGTCTTGCCACTGACATGGAGCTCTGGAAACAAGGCGCTGTTTTGCAAACTGTTTCCAGAGCTCAATGCCAATCTCGCATAGACGATCGGATGCTCGGCCAAAATGTAGTGTTACGTCATGGACAGAGTGCAAAGCAATGATTTGCGTGGGATGAGATCTGGCCACACTCCGCATGCAAACCATTGTCGGCACTCTGCATGCGACACGCAAATTCTGGGGAAGCTGCAAACAAAGGATTGTGGGACGAGGGTGACGGTGCGTCGGGAGAGATGCGTACCAGGACTTCGGCGATCGACTCGTTGACAGACGTGGGGTTGGAAACATCGGCATAGTGTGCCGTGACTGTGGGAACACTGCATGACAGGGGTTCGTCAGCAATCGGGTGGTGCTCATGTAATGTCAAACGCCAAACACGAGACGTGGGAAAGGTTCGAACTCGGAGGTGACACGGGCAAGGAGCTAAGGCGATTCAGAGCCGCCCCAGGGGCCCAGAGCCAAAAAGTGCTCCACGACAGCCACGCAATAGACGTGGCATCACAGCATTGCAAAGAATTGGTGCAAAAGACTTACACGTCGGTCTGGTGGTTTTCCTTGCGGAAGGTATCCATGAGGCTCTTGGCGGACTTCTCGGCCTCCTCCTCTGCGCCGGTGTTAGCATCGCCAGAAGGTGCATTGGGGGCCATTGGCACGACTTACTGTGCATGTCGACAATTGCGACGTTGGCACCGCTGTTGACGAGCGCCTGTGCCATGACGAGACCCAGGCCGCGAGCGCCGCCGGTGACAATGGCGGTGCGGCCCTCCATGGAGAAGCTGGCGAGAGTGCGCTTGAAGTGCCAGCCAGCGCGGCCCTGGGCGGGACGCGACGAAGGCAGGTTCTCCTCGCCAGGGTATTTCCACTGCACGCTCTCGTCGGTACGAGCGAACTGGCCCTCGTGCTCACCGGACTCGCCGGGAGCACCGGCTGTTGTCGCAGCCTTGACGTCGTCGTTCTTCTTGTCGAAGCGCTGCGCTGTCAGCGACAGCGGGCGAGCGGACTGACGAGCTGCATGCTGGGCAGACAGGGGGGAAGCCCGGCGGGCAGCGCGGGACAGGAGCTGAGGTCGGAACATGGTGAAGGGAGAGCTTGAGTAGCTGGTGTGGAGTGGCTACGCAGAGCTGGGGAGAAGGAAGCAGGTGCAAATAGGGGGCAAGGAGAGCGGCTCGCGCAGAACACGAGGTTTTGTAAGGTAGCAGCGGTGAAGAGTGCGGGTGTGTCACCGAGACCGGCGGGAGGTCGAGACGAAGGAGGTTTTTGAGCTGGCACATGTGCAGAGCACGGTGACGTTAAGCTGGGGTACGCGGGAGCTTGGGCCCCAGAGGGATCCAGAAACTCGCGCCCCGCCCAGCCCCAGCATTCCCGCCGCGACGGGGCCACGTCTTTCCACCAACGCAGCCTAGCGCGCCCCTTCAGCAGATCCTGACTTCGAGCTCCACCGAAGCCCTGGGCCTGCCCTGTTATCCTACGCTCCACCCTGACGCCGTCACCCGCCGCGACCCTGGTGGCGGAAAGGCGCAGAAAAAATGCTGCTCTACCTCGTCACCTTCAACCTCGCGCGGGCCCTCGTTGATCCACAGCTGCTGGGCCAGACGCTGCTGGACGGCCTGCCGAACCGCGCGCCGTTGCCCGACGTCATCGTCTGCAGCTTGCAGGAGGTGTCGCCCGTCGCCTACGCATTCCTGGGCGGCTCGTATCTGACGCCCTACTTTGATCGCATCGCGAAGAGCGTCAGCATCGCCGCCAAGAAGCATGCCGGCGACGAGCACGCCTACCGCAGCGTCGTCCTGCACCATGTGGGCATGACGGCCATTGCGGTCTTTGCCAAGCCTGACGTCGCCGACCGCATCAGATGGATGCAGACCGCAGCCGTCGGTGTCGGCTTCATGGAGACGGGCCACAAAGGCGCCGTTGGCGTGCGCCTGGCGCTTGCAACGCATGCCGACAGCGACGACGAGGTGGAAATGACCTTCGTTGCCGCCCACCTGGCCCCGATGGAGGACAGCGTGCCGCGCCGCCTGGAAGACTGGGAACACATTGTCCGCAACCTCGTCTTCGAGCCCGCCGCAGATCACGCCGCCTCCAAGACCGCGGGAGCAAGGGCAATAGAGTCTGCAACATCAGAAGCCGTTGCGCAGCAGGGCGAGCAGGAGCCGCTGATATCCCCTTCGTACGCCTCCGGACCCGCCTCCGCCCTACGCGGGCTGTACACCGCGACGTCGCACATCTTCTTCGCCGGCGACCTCAACTTCCGCACCCACGATACAGGCCCAGCCCCGGACGACCACTGCACCCGCTTCCCGCAGCCGCATCACCCGGAAGACTCGCCGCAGCACTACTTGCGCCTGCTGGCCACCGACCAGCTCAACCGCGAGCGCCGCGCCGGCCGCATCCTCCAAGGCTTCTCCGAACTCGACATCGCCTTCCCACCCACCTACAAGTACTCGACGCACCTCCGCCCGGATCCGACCACCAACCCAACGCCATCTCCCGACCAGGCCTGGGCCTGGGCCAAGCACCGCTGGCCCAGCTGGTGCGACCGCATCCTCTTCCTGCCGCCGCCTCCCCAACCCTCTTCATCTCCTTCATCCCCCTCCTTCTCCCCGCTCAAGTACACCTCTCTCCCCCTCCTCCCATCGTCCGACCACCAACCCGTCGCGCTCGCCCTCGAGGTCTCCACCGACGTGCCCCTCGCCCCTCCCGCAAAAGACGCCAGTGACGACGACGTGCGGACGCACCCGCCGTTCCCGCTCAATCCTGACTGGAGGGCGCGTCGGGACGCGGCGCGCAGACGCGAGATCGCGTTCGGCGTGCTGGCGTATCTGACGTGGACGTACGAGGGGAACGCGGTGCTGCTGGCGCTGGTGGTGGGTGCGTTGAGCGTGAGCGCCATCGCGAAGAGCTTCAGTTGAATCAAGGACGAACATCTCGTCGTGGTGGTGGTGGAGGAGGAGGAAGAGGCTTTTGCTGGTGCTTTTGTGGGCGACGCTTGAGCGGTGATGGGGTGAATTCTTGAACGAACATGCTTAACGACCTAACGTGTGTAGTATCTAAGAGGCCTTTTTTCTTACGATGGCACAGCAGCGATTGCAGCAGCGAGACTAGAATTGCGAATAGATATCAGTCGTAGTAATGATCACTCACGCATTCATCACAGAGTCGCTAAGACGTGTTTACAAAAGCCCAGTCTCAGTCCAACCAAAACCTCCACAAATCCTCCCGCTTAGCGTGCATGCAAGGCCGTCGGCGCCCTGCATCCAACCAGGAATCGACCTGCCGCAGCACATGCCCTGTTCATGACCGGCCGGGCCACTGTGACCCGCGGGACCCCCTTGTTGCTATGAATTATAAAGAGGGCTGCTCGTGGCGCTAGTATTAATGAGAGAGCAGCAAGGTCGGGACGGATACGCTTGAGAGACGCGTCGATCTCCAGGGGCCATGGCGTAGCAGAGAGCATCATGGCCCACGTGGCCTATGGGAGCATAGATCAACTTCGACTCTTAACGCTCTGGCAAAAAAAAAAGACTTTCGTCGCTAGCCGCGAAAGCCCGTTGAGGTGCCGCGACACAGTCAGATGGCTCAAGAGCCGGCCCCTCTAGGCGGTCGGTCCCGAAACAATCCGATGATGATGTTCTTGTCGTGGTAGTCGTTGTCCTTCGAGGCCATGCGTTCGGCCAGGCCGCAAAAGCGAATGTTGATCTGAAAAGATAGCCGAATAGTACAGCGGCACAGACGAAGCACCGTAGCATGAGTTGTTTTTAAATCATTATCATTTACCGCTACCGATCTGTCTATGTCTGTAGACGCAACCTTCCGCGGGAAAGCTAAGGCTAAGAAAAACATATCTCATCATCTACCATTAATCGGACATGACCTTTGTACACCACTCGACCCTCTTACGTATTTTCCATATTATAGCGCGCACGACTTTGGTATCATTCGGACCCCCCCCCCAAAAACAAAACAAACCCCACATTGGACCATTCGACAAAGACGGCAAGACGGCACTGCACTTAAGCAGACTTGGGCTCGACCTCGTAGGTAGCGACGTGGGCGGCGCCGGTAGCCTTTGCAATCTCCTTGCGGGCGGCGTCGTCGGCGAAGGTGTCGTGGGGGACCCACTTGGCCGAGTTGTGCGGGGTCGTCTCCTCGAGCATGCGGTCGACCTGCTCGAGCGACAGGCCCTTGGTCTCGGGGATCATGAAGTAGGCGAAGATGCCGCACAGCGTGCAGGTGCTGCCCCAGACGAAGAAGACCTTGACGCCGAGGTTGCCCTCGTTCTCGTCGACCATGTAGGGGGTGACGTAGCCGAGGACGAAGTTCCAGAGCCTGTGGTGGGGAGGGATTGAGGTTAGTGTCTGGTCGTCGTGGAGGGTGATGATGGGTGGGTGTTTGTGACTTACCAGTTGGAGGCGGTGGCGAGGGCGACGCCCTTGGCACGGATGGGCAGGGGGTAGACTTCGCCGATGACGACCCAGGCGGCGGGGCCCCAGGTGGTGGCGAAGAAGAAGATGTAGATGCAGACGAAGACGATGAGGCAGATGCCCTGGGCGTCGCTGCCGGGGGCGGCGACACCGACGATGGCAACGATGAACTGGCAAACAAGCATTCCAAGGGCACCACCGAGGAGGAGAGGACGACGGCCGAGGCGCTCGATGGCCCAGAAGGAGATGGGAGTGGAGCAGACGTTGACGACGTTGGTGATGACGGAGATGAGGAACGAGTTCTTGAGGCCGACCTGCTGGAAGAAGGTAGTGCCGTAGTAGAAGATGAAGTTGACACCAGTGAGTTGCTGGAACATTTGCAAGAAGATGCCCAGAATGACACGGCGGAGGTTGCCAGAAGGAGACCAGCCGCCCCTGAAGCAGTCGATCCAACCGGATTGCATGTGCTCACGCTCGTGACGGAAGTTGGCAACGAGCTCAGCAAGCTCAGACTGGATGTACTCAGAGTCGACGGGCTGGCCACGAATCCTGGCAAGAGCCTTGGCAGCCTCCTCGAGCTTGTCGTCCTTGACGAAGTAGCGGGGAGACTCGGGAAGCATCAGGAGACCTCCACCAAGGATGAGGGCCCAAGCGAACTGGATGGAGATGGGGATGCGGTAGGAGCCGGAATCCATGCGGTTCTTGGTAGCCTGGTCGACGCACGAGGCGAGCAAAAGACCGATGGTGATGGCGAACTGGTAGCCGGAGACGATGGCACCGCGGACCGACTTGGGCGCGATCTCGGACATGTAGAGAATGATGACGGCGGAGACGAAACCGACACCGATGCCAGCAATCAGGCGACCACCGACAAGGAGACCGATAGTAGTCGAGGCGACCTGAAGAATGACACCGAGCATGAAGACACCGCAACCAGAGACGACAGTGTTACGGCGACCAATCCAGTCGGCAAGAGAACCAGCGAAGAGAGCACCAAAGAAGGTACCGCAGGACAGGATAGAGGTGATCAGAGACTTTTGCCATGTGTCGTACATGTAGCCGTCAAAGGCGGCTTCATCGGTGGAGCCGGAGTGGCCGAACTCTTTCTTGAAGCTGCAGTCGAGTTAGGACCATGAAGCTCTCAGTATGTAGTAAGTACGTACTAGTTCATGCCCAAGACACCACTGATGTATCCGGAGTCATATCCGAAGAGGATGCCTATGGTCGATGGTCAGTGATGATTATCCCGACAGGTGGATGCTCCTCTCCGACGACTCACCTCCAAAGGCAGCAAAGGCGCAGAGCAGGTAGGCCTTGACGGTGACGGGAGCCTCGACACGGGCGGAGATTTCTCCTTGACCGCGACTCATGGTGGGCGGTTGTGAAGCTGAGCGAGCTTGAGGCTTCTTGTGAGCGAAGATGATGGTTGTGCGAGCTGATGCAGAAGAAAGGACAGGAGAGGCGGCGTCAGCAGTTCATATACGCGGCAGGCGCACAATGCAGACATGGTCGATGCGCGGCAGTGGTGCTTCTTTCACCAGTTTTGCGGTGCTTCCCCAGCTGAGGGCGTGGAGAAGCTGGGGCTTCGGGGGGCGTTTTTCCCACGGCGTCCAGAAGGCGGAGACAGCCAATGAAGGCGGCGAACAGCGCCGCAACGGGCCGGCAGAGGAGCTGTTTCGGGAAAGCTGCGGTGGTGACTTCCCCTTTGACTCGGCGCCGCTCGCCGCCACAGTTCCAGCCCCAGGGCCGGACAAGCCGAGCTCTGCAGGCCGGGCTGGCAGGAGCCGTACGACCTTCCGCGTCAGGCCATGCGCATCTGATGGAGAGCACGCCGGCTGTGCGGCGCTGGTGAATCCCTCGAGCCGGGTCTGCCCAATGGACGAGCCCCTGCGCCGATCGCCAGAGCACGCGGGAAGCCGACGCTGTGCTTACTGGCAGACACACGCGTCGAGCAGCGCAACGGTGCCATCGGCCGACGTCTTCAGCCCAGCAGCCCGGCAGGCGCGCGGCTTCTTCCTTCCCCCCCGTCAAGGTGCGGCGTGCGTTCGGCAGTCGCGGCCCTCTCCACGGGGAAGGACCACGGGAATTTCTCTCCCCACAGTGCAGCCGAGACGCAAGCGAGCTCGGGGCCCCGGCCACGGCTGCGCTCAGCGAGATGCATCTGGCCACCAGCGAGATCCCATCGCCTGACAGCGGGGTCGACCGCGCGCAGCCCCAACGTTCGAAAGCAGCGTCGTCGAGCATTCGACCATTGCAACGCCACACTAGCGCCGCAACTGCGCCAAGCCGCTCAAGCTCTCTGCCGCCGCAACACCTGGCGCCATCCGGGGTCATACCGCCATTCCGGCCATTCACCGCGCGCCACAGCCTGGTCACGATCCCCATTCTTGGTGTTTGAGAGCGCCACACGGAGCGGCACTCGTGTCACCTCTTGGCGTCCCGACCGCCCAACGAGCTGCTGCCACTGATGCGCGCCGGGATGCCTGCGAACCTGTCACCCTTTCCGACCCTCCATTCGCCTGAAGCCCGCTCCTTCGGACCTCGCTGCTCGGGCCCTGCCGAGTTGCGGATTTATCGAGTCCTCTTCTCGGGCTTACGGTCGTATGAGACCTTCTTTGTGCCGTCCAGCTCGTGGCGAAAAGTAAGCCAAAGGAAACAGAAATGGCACACGCCCATGTGACCGGCTCTGCAAATAGACAGCATACTCGTGGGATACCTACGGACACGTTACAGCGATGTGACAGTCAAGCCGACCAGCCCACGTTTTTCTGCATACCCGGGACAGTGTTTCGAATCTGCTCCCATGTCTCCCCAGTTCCCCCAAGATCTCTCCCCATCTCCGGCCCCCAACTTTCGCACTAGCCGCCGTTCGTTCCCCGGTTCTCGGACCCCAAGCCAGATTGCAAGTGCCGAGTCCCCAGGCCGATCCAGCTCTCCACCTCCCGCCGTCTCTCCCCATTTTCTCCAGTCCCCACCCTAGAGAGTCTAGAATGCCCAATGCGTCTCCCCAGTCTCCACTCCTCCAGCATCTTCCCTTACCAACATCGGCAAATATGCGGTTCAGACGGCACTCTCCATCGCGCGAGCTCGAACTACTGCCGGCAAGTGCTTCGTCGGCACTAGATTTAGGGGCGCGGCGAGCTATGCCAGAGCCGCAAATCACCGCTTACCACCGCAGATACCACACCGCATTCGTTCCATTTCCCGCGTGCTCTCTCTCTCCTCGGATTTCAAATAGTAACAGCAAAAACTTCACTTGTAGCATCGAGCGTCGACCAAATTAGCATTCCTGCTAACGAAAAGAGACGTGCGTAGTTGTTCGTGCCCAGCCCAGCCTCGGCCGCTTGTGTCTAGACCTTCGTGTTGAATCCCTGATCACCCAACCATCACTAAGCAAGAATGCCGCTCCTGAAGAATTTTTCTGTTTCTTTTCCGCTCACAAGGCGCCAAGAGACAGCCAGTACGAGCCAAGTGCAGCCGCAAAAGCAGCAGAGCCGCATCCGAAGCCACGTTACCCAGTTGCTGGACCAGAAACTAAAGAGCCGCATGACATGCAGGGACTTCTTGTCCCGTTCCCAGAGTCGAAGCATTCTCTCTACACCGGTCGTTCCTCCGTTCGGGACTTACCTTCGGATCACCGTGCTTGAGCGCGTGGTCAAACAGACCACCCTTTTTTTTTTCTCACCCACAGCTCCACTTCCTCGTCGGTGTTCTCCGCCTTCCACACACACTAATTCGTCTCCGCCTCCGCCTCCGCCTCCGGACCTGCCAAGCCTCCTTAGTGGCATCACTCAGGTCCGCTGGCGCCATTAATGGTCAATTGCGGGACCGATTCTTTATCTTCTGTCATCGTCTCACTCTCACCAGTGGAGTGTGTGACCTGTCTCTTGGCTATGACTGGTTGGCTGGTTGGCTGGCTGAGTGATCACGCGGTGTGTTTTTTGCCTCCTTCCACCCTCCTCTCTACATGTGGTGAGTTACGTAGGCGTCGGCCACCCCTACTCACTGTTTCATTGTCTCTTTCATCAGTGCGTGGCGACGGGCAACTCCCTTCGACCTTTGCCGTTGTCTCTCTTTGATTGCTCTCAGCAGCGTCATCGCCATCCTTCCGCTTCTGGGATGTTGCTTATTTGTCTACCGCGGTAATTCATCTCGCCCCTCGTTTTGACGTTGACGTGTTCTCTACATTGTCTTGATGTACAGCGCAACTCCAAGCTTGGAGTGATAACATACATTCATAGAATGAAGTAGCTACTCGCTTTTCGAACTGCTGGAGGGTGACACAGGAGGGCACGGCGTAAAAAAAAAATTGTTGCTCATTTGCCTACATAACGAACCGTCTCAACCCACACCTGGCACGACTTTTGCCATAGCGCATCTCCACCCGTCGGTCCCCTTCAACAGTGTCACAAGTACCTATCTTGCCTTTACCGATTTTCATCCTTACGATCGCGCCTCGTTAGCGTCGTCACAACACCGAATACTGAAAGGGAGCATCCCTCCATTCCGTCTGGACTTCCCACAGAAAGCAATCCACCCGTAGAAACCCCCCTATACTCCCCGAGGCTTGGAATAGATTTACCCACAGGAGGGGAGGGCGCGGTGGGCGGTGCGGCTCATAAGCGAGTAGAAAGGCCCATTGGCACCTAATCTTCCGGCAGAATGTCTCTGAGGGGGTGAGGCTTATATGGCAGTTTCTACGGTATGTATGTACATACACACTACACTCACTCTTCCCCGCTGCAACCAAATTCCAACAATCGGCTCGGCTTTTCTATGAGAAATGCGTACCCCGATACGTAGTAGCAATCCGCTCCTCCTCCTCCTCTCCCCCCACCATCCCGATTATTTTCTTTCCTCCAACATCTCCAATATCTCCAGTATCTCCAATATTTCTTATTTCTTCTTTCTATCTATCAGAGATAGACAAAAAGAAAAAGGCGGGACGTAAAAAAATAAAATCCTTGTGGAAAGCATCGCCCCTTGGCGCTAGCAACACACCCACTCACTCTCTTTTCGTCATCTACAACGTTGGAGACTGAGGTAGGTGCTGCGCTTTTTTTTTTTTCGGGCGCGAAGGGGGATCATTGCGCATTGAGCACATCAACCTGAAAGCCAGGGAGGAGGGGGGGAAAGGTGTAAGTCACTCAGTTCCGTAGAAAGTACGAACCAAAAAGGTTGGGGAAAAAAAAGATAAAAACAATTACGAGATCTGCATGGTAGGCAAGTGAATGACGTGGTGGTTGTTCTTTTCTCCAGGCTACGAAGCTACACGCAAGCAAGCAAGCCGCTTCACAGGCCACCGTGGTTTGGATGGGATATGGCCACGGGAGTCATTTGAGAAGAAAAGAAGAAGAAGGGCTTAAAGGACCGTTGAGAATCTGATCTGTCTGTTTGTCATGATGGGAGAGGCAGCTATGAATATAAACCTCGTCGAAGACATCAAGCAAGAGACGAGAGGAGACAGACAAAAGAGCACATCACGTCCGTCCACCCATCTACTACTCTCCTAAGATCGTACAGGATGATGATAATGTTGTTGGTGATGATATTGATGTTGATGTTACAGCGCTAGCCCCACACATGTCATAAAACTCCCATTTCCCTCCCCAAGGACCCTCAATCCTCAGGTGGTGAAAACCAAAAAGACGCAAAGCAGCAGCAGCAGCAGCAGCTCACGTATCCACCCTCGTGGGTATCTTAACCTGGCCCCTCTTCCGATCCTCATGCGGCATGCCATACCTCCAGCCGACGCCGGCGCCGCCCCTGCCATCCCTGCCGACCTGCTCGACGCTGAAGTCCTGGAACTTGAAGTCCCACCTCCTGCCGAGCACGCGCTGCGTCCGCGCCTCCTTGGCCGCCTGCTTGGCCTTGCGCCGCAGCTGCTCCTCGGCGTTGCGCGCGTTGCGCTCCTTCTGGCGCTCGACGCGCTCGTCGAAGCTGAGGCCCACCAGCTGGTCGCGCTCGACCTCGACGAGGCCGGGCTGGGGGATGCGCTGGTCGGCGGGGAGCAGGTCGGGCGCGAAGGCTTTGGCGGCGTCGGCGCGGGTGAAGTGGCGGGACTCGGAGGTGGGGTAGAAGAGCTGCTGGCGCGTGGCCGAGTGGACGGGGATGTCGGCGATGGGCTCGTGCGGGGGTTGGAAGTTGGGGTTGGAGAAGAGGGGGGTTTGGGGCAGCATTTGGAGGACGGCTTTGGAGTAGGGTTTCGCCATTGATTTGCCCTGGTGGTGCGCGCGGGTGGAGGAGATGCTGGTTAGCGGTTTTTGCTTGGTGTGTGTGTGAAGCAGGGAGACGGGGAGAAGTGTGTGTTTTTTGTGCGTATATCAGAGATTGAAAAAAGTTGTAACCATGTAGGTGTCTTCAAGACTAATCGAATTTTTTTTGTGCTCATCCTTCGAAACAAACGAGGGGAGGTCGTTGACGTAACCGGAAATTGGAAAAAAGCTCGTTGCTTACCTGTGCTTCCCACTGCTTCTCCATCGTCTTTAACCGCACGACGGCCGCCGCCCTCTCCATCGTGATCTTGTAGCTCGTGCTGATCACCGCCAACGGCTTCTTGTCGACCACCGAGTCCTCGTAGACCTTCTCGCGCAGCTCCTCGCTCAGCACCGGCTGGCTGTGGAAATGCTTGTTCAGCGGGAACGGACTCAGATCCTGCTTGCTCTCTGGTGGCAGTTTGCCGTCATCCTGCTCCGCCTCGGCCTCCTCGGCCTTGGGAGCCTCGATGTGAGCCTCGAGCCCTCCATCTCCCAACTCCTCCTCGTCATCCCGCTCCCTCTTCTTCGGTGGCGCCTTTGGCACCTCCCGCAGCAGGTTGCCCTGTTTGTCGTACGCGCCGAGGTAGTTGGTCGATCCCGGAAGCGGGTATCTGAGCTTCGCGCCCGGTCCGTTCAGCCAGTCGTACATCTGCCGCCGCAGCGCCGTCTGTTCATTGCGACATGACCGGGAGAAGCTGCGGGCGTGCCATTGGTGTGATGCCTGCGGTGTGCACTGTGACCGCGCCGCCGGAACGCAGTGGGAGAGCGAAGACGCGACGCCCGAGGGAAGCCGCGAGGGCATTATGCGAGAGAGGTCAGAGCTTGGCTCAGCGAAGGAAAGAAAAGGCAATGTTGAAGCACAGCGGAAGTGAATTGGGCAACGAAAGTGGGCGTCACAGCATGGACAGGTTGATGGAAGATGCGGTGGTTTGGCGGGCGGCGAAGTTTTCTTGGGCGCAAGCTGCCGACAAGCGAGGGCGAGGGGAGCAGCCATCACGTGATAGTCATCACCAATCTTGCTTGCAGTGCTCCACCCGGACGGCGCCTCAGGCCGGGGCTGACGATCACCGTGCCGAGTGCCAGGAAGCACGCGGATCGTCAGGGCCATATTACCAATGGCACCTGGACTTCCGGCACTATGCAGGTCAGCCTGGCGATCCTGCACGATACTCCATTCAGCATGCGGGGGTAAGGACAGATTTTAATTCAAATGAAACAAGCCTTTCTGATGGAATCTAGCTAGAGTGATAACTGGGATGAAAAAGCGAGCGAAAGACCATGATGCAATGACTACGGAGGGAAACCGTCCTGCCAGCCGTGAACAAACACCAACCAAGCATGCACCCCGCGCAAGCGCCCTACTAATGTGTGATCCAGCGCCGGAAACAATTCCACCTGAACATCACCCAATCCGCACAGAGGCGATATGCATGAGAACCCAGCAGAATCGAGTCCGCATCCAAGAGAATCGAACCGTGATGATGAAGCCCAATAACACCCTCCCGTATATGCCCCTACTCCAGCGACCGTGCTTTTCCTGCCCAGCAGACCAGGCCGATGAAGAGCGTCCTGCTCAATCTGTCGAGATCTAAGCACGCGAACAAAGAGAAGAAAGAAAGGCAAAGGGGAGTCCGAAGGAACAGAACACCCGTGATAATGCAACAACGCTACCGACAGCAGGCCAGGACAAAAATGCAGAAAAACGCATGAGGGGGAATCATTGCTGTATGCTGTAAATGAAACCACCTCCAAAGTGACCTGCAGGCCTAGGCGGCCTTTGTGGAGTACGTCGCGCCATGACCGTGAAACCCATTTCCCACACGGGAACAGAACCAGAAATGAATACACTTGTAAAACATCATGCAAATGTCTCGGGAATGACAGAAGACTTTGGGATCTCGGGACAAGAAAAAGAAAAAGGGGGGTAAAAGAAACTGAAAAGGGAAAAACAGCGCGCCTATACTCCGGTCCACCCGTTCGCTATAACTCCTCCGGTTTCATGCATGGCAGCATGAAGGAAAAAGGAAAAAAAGAAGAAAACAGAAACCGATCCGTCTATGCAATTAACGGCCCATCATGTAATCAGAATAGCCTCCGGACATGCTGCTGAACCCGCTGTTAGCGGCCGCGGAAGCCATGCCGCCGGTGAGAGGTTGACTTCTCATGGCGTTGGGCGGCACCCCAAAGGTTCCATTGGAGAAGACTCCAAAGCTGGAAGGTGCACTCATGCCCACTGGCGAGCTCATGCCAGGTGGGGTCAGGCCAGGCGGGGGGCCGGTTGCCGTGGTAAAAGACTGGTTCATAGCAAATCCACTGCCCATACCCGGCATGGCGCTGTGAGGCGTCATCGGGGTCGCAGGAACATTGTTGGTGTTGGTCTGTCCGTTCCGCACGCCCAGAGGATTCTTGGAGAAACTCAACCTAATTCCGCCCTTGACGCTGTTGTGCAGAGGATGTCCGTAAAGTTCGTTCAAAGCCTTTGTGGCGAACGAAACGTCTTCGAATTCAACAAAACACATCGGGCCGTTCGCTTTGGTCCGAAAGCACAGTCTCTTGTAGCCGCGTTGCTTGGAAAACATGGCCTTCAACTCATCTTCCGAGGTATCGATTGGGAGATTGCCAACGTAGAGAGTGTTGCAGGGCGGGTTCTGATCTGCCGGATTGACCGGGGGATAGTTATGCCTCTGATAATGGTGCGAGGTCAGCTGATAGTTGGAGTTTGGTCCCATGGGGCCCATGGTTGATGACATGTTCTGTGGAGACATGGTCGTGATTGGCGGTCCAGGAGACTGCACGGGCCCGACAGAGCGCGGTGAGGCGAAAGTCGACAAAGGAGGGGAAGTGAGCCCGGTGGTTCCGCTTGTGGTGTTCAACGAAAGACTGGCAAAGCGAGATACGGGTAGCGACGGCTGAGTAGTGCGCCGGGCCATGTTTGGTCCATTCTGTCCGCTTCTTGCGTATGCCACAGGGTCCTTGATCAGTTCGCTGGTCTCGTCGTCACCTGCATCATCATTGATCAACTGCTTGCTGAGGTTCTGCGTGGCTTCTCCGAACGTCTTGGTTCCGGTGGGAGACTTGGGTCCAAAAAGGCCTCCCTCGGGGATCGAGAATTCGGCTCCTCCCAGGCTCGAGGAGCCGTTTGGCGGGGACATTTTCTCCATGGACTGGAAGGTGCCGTTGAAGCGGGACGACTGGCGTCCGAGCGACGAGCCTGCCGAAGAAGTCGAGCCCGAGGTCTGGCGGCTTGCGGTGCCGTCGACAGTGTTGCGCCTGGCTCCGATGGCACCGGGAACGGTGTTGCTGGGAAGAAGCTCGACGACCATCTTGGCGTCGTTAGCGGCATTGGCCTTTCCGTTGAGCCTGTCCCTGGCCTCTTGAGCGCCTGCCAGGGTCCTAAATCGCGCAACTGCAGAGACGAATCCTTTGTCTTCGGCAAAATCGGCCTTGATGATCTCGGTGTTGATCAGGTCCTTTGCGAACAAGAGCATGCTGCGGACGGCTTCGTCGCTGGTGTTCCGCGGCAGCTTGCGCACCAGGACGGTGGTGGCATACTTCATGTCCGAGGCGCTGAGGGTGGGCTCCAGCTCGCTCAGCGAGAGCAAGGAGGACGGGCCGCTCTCCAGCGTCTTCCTCTCACCGATGGGCGACAGGGTGTAGCTGTGGGACAAGGGGGCGGCGGTGGTGGAAAAGACGTCTGCCGTCATTGCTCCGGCGGAGAAGGGCAGTTTCGGCGGGGACGACGAGGTTGAGCTGAAGGAGCCGTGCAGGAACGGGCTGTTGGACGAGAGATTGGACGGACTCGTGCTGCTTGAACTTGGCCCCGCGGCCATGTCGTTCTTTGTGCGGCGTTAGTAGCGGGCGGGCGCGGGACAAAGACTAGGACCGCGCGGAATTGAGGCTGTGGGACAAAGAAGGGAGCGAGCGATCGCTGAGTCGATTCCGGCGAGGCGAGGCTGTCTGGCGATCTGACCGAGGGAGAATGCAACGGCTGATGGCGATCGGCGGGCTTGGGGCTCAGGGTGCGGGCGCGCTGGGGGGGGCGTGGGCGGTGCAGCGGTGCAGCGGTGCAGCGGCGGGCTCTGAGGCGGTTGCGGCGAGGGCGAGGGCGTGGTCTTGAGAGGTGAGGTTCGCGATGCGATGCGACCCGACCGAGACACGGACAGTTCGCAGACCCCGGCAAGGCGTGTGGGCCGGGTAATCGGTCAGCTTGGGGAGTCGGGCGCTAGCAGGAGCCCGGCGTCGTCAGGGAGATGCGCATGCAGCAGGTGAGTGGTCGGAGCGACGGGCGTGGTGGACAGAGAGGTGTGGAGAGCGATGATGGGCGTGGTCGAGCGAGGGTCGAGCGCAGCTTGGACGTTGGGGCGGTTTTGGGGGGGGCCCAGCCAAAGCTTCAGCGATAGCGGGACGCGTGCGAGCGGGCCAATGGGAGCGGGCGCGCGCGCAGCGTTGGATCCGGAAGGACGAAGGGCGGGAGCGTGTGGGGGGAGCGAAGGGGCAGCGGGCAGCGAAAGGCAGCAGCACGCGGGCGAGTGCAGAGGGGCGGGTTAGCAGCAGCGCCAGGCCAGCGCCAGGCAGGCCCGCGCCAGGCAGGCCAGCGCCAGCGCCAGGCCGTGACCGCGCGGAGGCTGAGAGCTGCCGCTGCTTGATGAGATAGCTGACACAAGAGGCGTGACTCGGCGGGCGCCGGGGTGGGCAGCAAAGCCACAGCGGGCTGGATTGGGCAGCGCGGCGGCGATCGATTGGCCTGATAGCAGCACGCAGACTCGACGTCGCGGCCGCGGATCCACGGGCGCGGCGGGGCGCGCTGTGCTCCGTCCACCGAGCCCTCAGAAGTCGCACTGCTGGGCATCTCGCATCCTTGCAGCCCGGCGGCATCTTCCAAGCAGCCAGCATCCCAGCATCCCAGGAACTGCGCGCTGCAAGGTTGCCGTCCCTCACGCCGGTCCCCGCCATGTCGCCCACGCCAATCACGGCCGCGGGCCCGTCGGCAGACAAGCCGCCGCGGCTTGACTCATCTCGCGATAAACTCTGGCGACTCGCTCCACGCTCCCGAGCGCTGATCGCGGCGCGAAGCAGCTAGCTGCCCGCGTGGAGCGCGCCCCAGCCCAGCCCAGCCCAGCGCTCCGTGGCTCCGCCGCCTCCGCTGAGACACGACGACACGCACGTTTTAAGCATCCCAAACGGTTGCGTGCGCGGACGGCCAGCAAGAGCCGCATCCCCAGCACGTGAAAGCGCGGCACCGCCCCAGCGCCGCCAGCAGCCCGCCGCCAGCCCGCGAGCAGCCCGCCGACGCCTCGCTGACCAGCCGTCTCTCTGCCATCGATGCTCTGCCTCGCTGCCTGCGTCCCGCCCGCCCGCCAGCCCGCCAGCTGACGTCTCGCCAATGGCACTGCCCGCCGGCCCGCGTCGCGCACATACTCGCGCACACACTCGCGCACGCTCGCGCCTCAGGCTCCGGCAGGAGGCACAGTCCGCACAGTCCGCCCGCCGCCGCCTGCTCCCGGTCGCCGCCCTGTCTGAACTGTCTGAACTGCCGTCACCACTTTGCTTTTGATCGGAGATCACAGGAAGACGGCGACGAACTGCTCGGTATCGCCCTGCAACGTGGAGCCACCCAGGGCGAGGGCGCCGGTGCGACCACACCCACCGCCGACCCGCCGTCCGCTCCCGCAGCGAGTCGAGCCGACGCAGGCCGCGCATCCATGCCATCGACGCCGGCAGTCTCGCAGTCTCGCAGTCTCGAAGCCATCGCCCTGTGCCACTCCACAACGCGGCCCGTGGGCTTACGTTTCATCCTCGCCGTGCCGTAGCACAGAGCTGACGCCTGCCGCTCGTTCGAACCGCTGCCTCCTCTGCCTCTCCTCGCACTTCACTTTACACCGCATGCCGTTCGCGGTACCTACTCTGCTTGTGCTCGCCCACGATACCTGTGCCGTCCGCTCAGCCTCGCCTGCCCGTCCACGAGCGGGCCCGAGTACATGCACACTGGAATGTGGTCTTGTTTGTGTCGATAAGGACATGCTGCCCGCGCCGCCGGGACCAAATAAGAGCTGCCCGTGCTATCTCTGTGCTCCGATATTCCTTTTCCTGCTGTTTGAGAAGGCTGACACCCTACCGCCCAGCCCACCCATGACGGCGGAACATTCGAAATCCCCCGTGCTTGCTGCAAGGAAGCTCTGCGATCTTGCGCGTCCCGTCCCTCTTCCCAGATCGAGCTCTTGTCGTTTCTGCCTCCTCCACCCGCTGGACGCCGCACCGCTGCATTTGTCCTATTCCGGCCGACCGCGGTCAGCTGATTCGGACTGTTTCAATACGCCATTGTCAGCCCTGCTGAGAGGTTGATCAGCCATGGCAGAAAGCTTCGACGGCTTTCACATGGCAACGGCCTGGGCTTTTGGTGTGGCTTTGACATGCTGCGAGTCCCATGGGATTCTTTACACAACCGCTCGAGGGCTACAAAACAGGGATGTCGACAGCGACCACTTTTCTAGGCGCAGTTGACTTCTGGAAGCGGCTTCCTAAGAAAAGTATCCTCCTCGTGCAGCAGTTAGATTCGGCCCTCCCGGGTTCGTCCCTGCTGGGATCCAACCTCCGCGTGCGCAAGGGCTTACGGTACTGAATCAGACCTCACTCTGGGATCGGCGGCCATTGCGGGGTTGGGCTGCCCTCGTCGTAACCGCGCAGGCGGGCGACTGTCTGGAACGGTCGTAGTTCGGGTCCGCGACTCTGCAGCGATTCCTCAGCAACCCTCTCGTATCGTGTCGACCGCCTTGGCTGCACGTCACCAGTCATGCCAGCTCTCAATCGATATAATCTACCCGCCTGCTCCACTCATCGGCCAGCGCTTGTGGAGCTGCAGCAGAAATGCTGCAATCGCGTCCCTACCTGCCTTCAAGTCCGGTCTTGCTTCTGCGGTCGCTCCATCAACTAGCCTAGCCGCGCTTGGCTGCACACTGAGCCAAGCGCGACAAGCCCTCCGAAAGGGGTGTCTCAGAATCCGCGCGTGAAAATGGAATGCTTTTGATCCGACAGAGACGTGCGACGCCGCCGCCGCAACCGCTCGACTGCTTGTTGGCCGAGCACCCACATGACGTTGGACATCGTCTGGACAAGTCGTGTCTCCTGCACCTAATGGATAGTCTTCTAATAATACAGGTTTGCACCGGTGAATTACACTCTTGGATCTAAGGCGCCTTCCGGGAACCGGCGCCGGGAGACTGCCGGCAGGGCTGCCGTCCGTCTATATTCAAGATTTCCGCATGTCCTGCTGCATCTCGGGGGCCACCGACTGGTCTCGCGCGCCAGGCTATGCGGGTCACGCCCACCACTTGCACGTTTGTGTGGCCGCAGGGTGCAGCCAGCGAGGTGCCTGAAATGGACTCTCAGAGCGAATAGGCGTGCTCGCAAGCCAATTGTAGGTGCCGCAAGCAGCCGGCAAGCCTTACAAACGAGTAGGACCCAGCCATCCAACCGTCCAGCCCTCACACCTCTTTCACCTTTAGCATCGGGCGCCCCACAAGCCTTTGCAGGGAACCGCAGCCCTCTGGAAACGGCCCCCGGCACGCGTGACACGGACCAATGGGCTTTTTGGGTCAGCCATCCGCACCAGCATGTCCATCCTTTTAGCGGCGGGCCGAGGCGTGTGTCTGCAGAGTCATGACCCACTTACTTTTCCTTTATTGCCGGCAACCTATGGGCTCCAAGGACGGATGGTGCCACTGGAAGTAGGCCCAGTTTGTCCCACATGCCCTAAATCAGGCACGGGAGCGTGGCACAGGTACAATGCATGTACATAATACTTAGACAACAAGCCATCTATGGTGGGAACGCAATCGAAGTGTCTGCACTATGTTGCTCTTGTACATTCCATTTCATCGTCACCATCCCTTCCATGACTGCGACCTTCACAGGATTTTCACCTCGAAACATGTCCTCATCGCTGGCTACTGTTCTTCCGAAACTCCCTGGGCAATCCATTATCGATCAACCCCTTTTAGCAAAATAGTTATCATCGCGCACTTCCCTTGTCCTGAGCAGGCATGAGTTGAGATCAGCAAGCTTTGCCCCAAAAGCTGACCATTCAGCATACTAATACAAGCGCACCTCCTTTCCAGATGGTCAGGGTTCACGGGCATCCATTGTGACTTATCATTACCGGGAAGATGCCCACCATGCCATGCCCCATCCCTCCCATTCCCATCTGAGACAGCGCGAGACCTGTTTCAGGAAAGACAAAATCATCCGAGAACCTTCTTTTGCCTTTCCTCCATTTTTGCTTCTTCCGTCCCGCGACGGCCTGGACTGGCCGGGAAATATCGGGAAGGGAGGGCTGCGCATCCGCGTCTGAGGTCCACCGGTCCTCGCCGCTTTCTTGTTTACCACACAGCAGTCGGGACGTGTATGTCGCTGATAACCACCATCTTGCAACCACCTCCATGAAATTGTATAATCAGACTCTCTTCACCGTTGCTTATGCTGCTTTTTCCCTCTCTAGACACTATGGATGCTTCTCGCTGACGCACTCACGATGCACTTCCAAGAGCTCATACACCATACTTATGATACGCTACACCTCTACAGAAAATAATGGCTCCTCTCATTCTTCCCTGAAGTGATAGAATGCAAGTCTGCGTCCAACTGCGACAGGTTTGAATTGATACACCATACGACTGGACAAGCATGTTTGAGTCCTCACAGCACTGCCAAGTAGTTAGCCCAATCAGGAATCCGAAAGTGGTTTAGCGTAGCTTGTTCCTCATAAAACTTAGACGTTCGTGTAGGCCCTTAGAAGGAGCAATCCATTGAGTTCAAACAAAGCATAGCCGCCAGGACCGAAGCACCAACGGGCTTCGGAACAGTGTCTTACGACTCACTACTCCCCCAATTGAGCTTTCCGGCTTCCCCACTGCACTGTAACAAGCCAGACGAAGTATCTTACGGACAAGTTGGACCGAGGAAAACTGTTTCAAAGGGCGCTCACTGAACATGCTATGTCGACCCTGGAAACTTGAAAGCGGATGGAAGCGGGTGGAAGCATGGCCTGATAGTGACTCACTCGGAAAACGGACCATTGACCAGCTGAAACAACCAAACTTAAGGCAGGACTGCATCAGCATCGTTGTTGACCGAGAATTGAGATTGAGGCCAATGAGTAGTACAGTTTGTGCCGATATGCCGATACAAATGCCCGCCAGGGTTACCCCGGGGGATGATCTAAATGGCAGCCAATGCAAAGCGAGTAGCTTCCGGCCCATGCGTTGCCGGTTTTTATCCAATGTTCTGCAATCTGACGCTATCAGTGAGTGACAGATGACGAATAGTATGCAAGTGATGGGTTTGCTATATTCAAGGGTATAGTGCCGTTAAAACCTTAATGGATTGTTCCACTAAGGGGCTTCACAGCTGCAGAGGCCAATGTACATGCGAGGTGGGGCGAAGCCCAACCGGGATCTCTATTCTGGGCAGATATTATGTGTGGCTCATCGTTCTCCAACAAGTGCCACATTTTCTTCATATTTTCCCCTGGCGAAGGAAAGAGGATGGTGTTGGTGTAAACACTTCTTTTACACACGTCACTAAAAGAACACGTTGGGCCCGAAGTACAAGTGGCTCAGACTTTGCTTTGAATGATACTGCCGTCTACATCATCTATCACTGTTGCTAACAAGCACAGTGTATGATAATAAAAACATGGACACAACACGAAGTACAGCCCAACATTCCATCAACCGGGAAGTTAGCCGAAGGCCGACAGTCAGAAATGTTATATGGGCTTACATCGACTTCCTCATGTACATGATACTCTACAACAAGACACGGTGGCACAGGAAATATTGAGTATAAAATCATCACATTTCCTTCGCAATAAAAATCATAACTTTATGTTTCTACTTTCGTTGCCCATCTTCCTTTACCTGTTACCAAATCTCTTCCTCTTCCCGAAAGCACAGACAAATGGGTCATACGCTTGTCTTCCAGTGCGATATATCCGCTACCCTGGCCGCTAATTCAACGAACTACTCTCCGATTCATTTTCGGCACGCAGTTCGCGTGACTGAGCCCAGGCCAATCTTGGACTCCAGACTTATGTAGTCCGTACGCACATTTCACATGCAGTTGAGTTGGGGAATCCTTGCATGTGGATGTAACGCGGCCCGTTCGGCAGCTGCATGTGATTGTCAAGATATGGGATGATTTCCCAAAAGGGAGCAAACGGATGAGTAAACAGTGGTTTGCAACGACGGAGATGGAGCGGCAAAGGCGGTTGCAGGAAATGCCTTGGGCTTCGATCAGAGACTGAGTCAAGGCCGGAGATACAGTGTGAAGCAAAGTAGGCGAACAGCTCCCAAAACAAAACAAAGCAATATAGAAGTTACGACCAGCGAACCACGCTAAAAGAAGGGGAGATCGTCAGGAACTTTCCACGGCACTTGCGCATGCATCGGTCGGGTGCGGGCCGCGCGTTCCAACGGACGGGCTAGGTAGGGAGCTGGATACGAAGGTAATAGTCATGAGCCGGGTGTTTGGGGAAAAGCGCCGTGGGTCCTATTGCTTCATCGGGAAAGTAGAATATTGGCCTCGAGCGAGGCAGCGGGCAGGCAACTGCACGGATTAACATTCATTTGACAAGACGAAAAACCGGATGGGGGCCGTCCACTGTCGCAAAGTAGGTCTTGATCCGCACGCGCATGGAAGATGACTGCTGCATCCACTGACCGGTGTGTGCGCGGGCGAGGAGGCAAAGCTTACTCCCTCGGTCCAGGCCAATGGGACCCTTGCGGTGGGCAGGAGGGGGCGAGGCATCATTGGTCTGTTTCGGGGGTGGTGATATTCGCCCCCCGCCGACGCATTATCAGCGCCCCGCCCGTGCCGTGGCAACCCGAAGGTGGGGAGAGCAAAGGCTGTTCTGTCGGTTGCCGTCTTGTCTTGGAAATAAGAGAAGCGTAAGCCACGGGGAGGCACCCTCGCCAACTCACGCGACGACCTCCCCTTCTCCCCAATCCGCGGTCCTGGGCGCAGATCATACAGGCATGAGACCGTTCCCTCTCCCGCTCTTCTCGTTCGTCTTGAATCAGGACGCCGAGGCAACCGCACCTGGGAGCGGGGCAGAGCGCCATCCCTGCAATTTTGAAAGCAAGCCCCCAACAGACGTCCTCGACCCGGCGGCTATCGAGCCTGCGGACATACAGGCCTTCTTCTACTGAACCGTGGCTTCCGGTAGCGCCGGCCAGGCGTTCCTCCTATAACAACGGTCGCGCATAGAGTTTCGATGGGTAAAAGGAACGATATCCCCACCAACCACCGAATGGAAAAAAAAAATGTCGGGCGACTGTGATCCGTATCACGCCTTCCCCCGACAGGCTGACCCCATCGCTGACCAACGGTATGAGAAGGATGAATAGAGTGGCCAGCGGAGCTGCCCGGTGATTCGGGACCCAGCAAAGCAGGCCCAGTGCTGGCTCCACTGCCGTGATTCAAGCATGGAAAAATCGAGATATCACATGGGCGGCGGGCCAATGCTTGGTCGCCGGTCTTACATGCATAGGAGGAGATCTTATTGAGTTTTGCGTTAACCGCCCGGGATGAAGAGAGGACAGGCGAGATGTTTGATCATCATCAACGGCCGCCCCCACCTGACAACCGGCTTCGAGCTATCACACATTTCCCGAATCGTCGACGGACCCGTCCGAGCGGAATCGTCACTGCTTCGACGCGTGGCCGGTCGGCTCACGCCTTACCCGGAGCTCTGGGGCCACCGCTCAACAGATGTAGATTTGGGTATAAAACAACTTGATATTACCGCATATCACATCGGCGATAAGAGCCCACCCGTCGGAGGTCGGTGTCTGAACCACCACGCTGGAAAAAAACCCGATATTGACGGTTGCTGTGTCCAGGTTTCAGCTCCTTTTGGGCTGTCAACGACGTGAGCACTCTTCTCATGCCGGCGCTCGTCACCCAGGGGAACCCCCGCAGCCTCAGGAGATCAAGGCAACCGTCCAACAGTCGTGAAACCTCGAATGAAACCCTAAAAAGCCGGAACAACCTTTGGGCGTACTGTGCCGTCGCCAGCCACGCTTACCTACGGCATTTGCTGTGACAGCCGCGCTACGGATTGCTCACTCTCCAGATGAGCCCAGCGGGAGGGAAAGAGCAAGCGAGGGTCAATCTATACTCACTCTAGCCTCTTTCATCATCTAACCTGCTCAGGGCGTCCAACATCCGTCCCAAAGGACCACCAGGCTCTCGAGCCCGGGGAGGACTGGACTGGACTGGACTGGACCGGACCGAACGAGGTGATTCCTTCCTACCCACCCAACCCACCTCTTTCAATTCATCCACCTCTCCAGCAACTCGGGCGGCGCATCCCTCAGCAGCACATGGACGTGATCCACGCCCCTCACGCTCTGCAGCGCCGCCCAGTTCTTGAACCACAGCACCCTCTCCCCCCTGTCGGCCTCGGCCTCGCCCTCGCCCAACGGCACCCTAAACGTCTCCGTCACGTACGCCTCCACCCGCGCGCGCGCCTCGGCCGTCAGATCGCCGCCCGCCCCTTCACCACCACCCCCCACCTCCACCACCTCCAGCGGCGTCTTCACCCACACGCACACGTGCGCGATCCCCTCGTCCAGCCCGTACGGCCAATCGTTCCGCAGCACCCGCACGTCCGCCGCGTTCGCAAACGGCGTCGCGTCTGCGCAGTCAAACGCGATGCCGGAGTGCGCATCGTTCGCGCTCGGCGTCCAGTGCAGGCGCTCGCGCAGCAGGTAGTCGGTCAGGGAGCCGTGGCGGGCGCGGACGTCGAGGGACCAGTCGAGGTAGGCGCGCGTCTGCGACGGGCTGCGCGTGAGCAGGTGCAGGGCGTTGGCGGCGAGCAGGGCGCGCAGGTCGCGCCACGAGTGCGGGGTGAAGCGCGAGTCATCGGCGGGCTGCGCGAGGATGCGCTTGTCGAGGTCGGTCAGGTGCGGGAATTGCGCGAGGTAGTCGGCCGTGGTCTTGTTGTTGTTGTTGTTGTTGTTCTTGTTGTGACTGCCGTTGCCTGTTACCGGGCCCGAGGTTGTAGTGGTAGTAGTTGTTGTTCTTGTTGCTGTAGCTGGTGCCGGCGGCGCCGGCAGTGGCGTGATCAGCGCGGTCGTGGTGTCGTTGACGAAGTCGCCGGGCGACATGATTGCGGATGGGGAGGTTGGGGGGAGGTGGACTGGTTGGGGCACGCGAGAAGGCGGGCGCTGAGAGCTGGCCACTAGGTACTGCTACATGGTGAGTTCGTTCGCTCGGTGACAAGCGCGAAGGAATTGGTGGGCGGAAAGGCCCCGCGGATTTCCTTGCCCAAAGCGTGGAAGGGGTCCTCGGGCGGATTTTCCCCACACCAGCTTTTCGCCGCGAGCTGCTCAACGTCGGCAACTTGCGTCGCCGCCCCAAACTTAAGAGCAAACACCACTGCCCCACCACCAGAACCTCTCTCTCCCCCTTCCGTTCCTCCCTCCCTCCAGCTCCCACCTCTCCGGCATCTCTCAATCGCCCGCCAGCCATGTCGGGAGCCCTCGCGCCGCAGTTCGTGCACGGCGTGTACATCCCCTCCGCCCTCTTGATCGTCGGCACCGCCATTATCAACAAGCAATGGGTTCCCTTCGCCGTCGTCATTGCCGCTCTCCTCGGCGGCTGGAAGGTCTTCAGCAACCGTACGCCCGCCCTCTCTCCCCCCCATCTCTCCCGCAACCCTCAATCATCGCGCCCCCAAGCTCCGCGCTGCTCCGAGATCGGTACCCCCAAAAAAGGACCTCCGAAGCTGACAGTCAATTGCAACTGCAGAACCCCGCAAGGTGCTCAAGCCCGACGAGTTCCAAGACTTTGAGCTCAAGGAGAAGACCATACTCTCGCACAACACCGCCATGTAAGCCTTTTCCTCGCCGCTTCCGCGCTTTCCGGCGAGCACGCCCCCGCCTCGTGCTCTGCAAACCGAAAGATCATCCCACACCCTCCCATCCCGCCAGCCCCCCCAACCAACTGACAGCCCCACAGCTACCGCTTCGCCCTCCCGCGCCCGACCGACATCCTCGGCCTCCCCATCGGCCAGCACATCAGCATCGCAGCCACGCTGCCGGGCCAGCCCAAAGAGGTGGTGCGGTCCTACACGCCCATCTCGTCGGACCTGGACGCGGGCCGGGTCGACCTGCTCATCAAGGCGTACCCGACGGGCAACATCTCCAAGCACGTGGCGTCGCTCAAGATCGGGGAGACGATCAAGGTGCGCGGGCCCAAGGGCGCCATGGTCTACACGCCCAACATGGTGCGCCACTTCGGCATGATCGCCGGCGGCACCGGCATCACGCCCATGCTGCAGGTCGTCAAGGCCATCCACCGCGGCCGCCCCGCCGGCGACCGCACCCAGGTCGACCTCATCTTCGCCAACGTCAATCCCGACGACATCCTGCTCAAGGAGGACCTGGACGCCCTCGTCGCCAAGGACGACGGCATCCGCGTGCATTACGTCTTGAACAACCCGCCTGAGGGCTGGACCGGCGGCGTTGGCTTCGTGACTGCTGATATGATCAAGGTGCGTTTTTTTCCTACTTCCTGCTCGATTGGTGCGAGGCTGGAGTTTTTCCTTCCCCGGGCCCGGCATTGAGGAGTGTTTGTCGCTAACTTTTGTTGCTGCTGCCATCACCAGGCCAAGCTTCCTGCTCCCGCAAAGGACGTCAAGGTCCTCATCTGCGGCCCTCCCCCCATGGTCAGCGCCATGAAGAAGGCCGCCGAGTCCCTGGGCTACGACAAGGCCAGGCCCGTCAGCAAGCTCGAGGACCAAGTCTTCTGCTTCTAAGCGTGCTCTTTTCTTTCTTTTTTGTGTTGTGTGAAAAGAAAAGAAAAAACGCAACCAACTTTACCAAGCGCCTGCCAACGAAACTCGCTCTCGAGCTTGAAGTGGTAGAGGAAAGGCTGCGTCGAAAAAGGAAACTCAACAGAGACGCGCCTGAGATATGTTTGGTTTCCCGTTATTCGGCGGCGTATCAAGAGGCATATATGATCACATAGACGCAGAAGAAGCCCATGGGCAAAATGATTGACGAAGTTAGGACAGGGGTTTGTTGTAGCCCTTGGGTGGGAGACGGAGAGAGCAGAGCAGATATCCCAAATATGTTTTTTCGTTTCTTTGCATTTATTTTGCATCCTGCGAGGTTCCAATGTTGTAGAAACAGAACGCTCCCAAAGCGCGTTTCCTCATGAAGTAAGTGTTATGAACAAAAAACATGAGAAGCTTCGAGCTTCGATTTCGAAGTGAATGATGATGCCTTTTTCGCTTTAGCTTTCTGGGTGCCTCGCGGTCGTCGTGATAAGTCATAACTCGTATTAAAAAGACTGGTATGGTATATGGTATGGTGAATATCTTCGCTGGCTAAAATGCGTACAAAGAAAAAAAAGACGGGAAAAACAAGAGGCTTCTTCTTCGGCTGGCCGTGGTGAAGACGGACGGAACGCATCATCCAAAAAAAAAAAAAAAAGAAGAGAGAAGACGTCCGCAAAGGCAAAGCTAAGCATTTCGCGGGGGCGCGGTGGGCGGTTGTGTGTGTGGGTGATTTGTATAGTCGGGGGAGTTGTCGTCGAACGCTTTTTTCGCGCCATGTTCATTTGCGTTGGTTGGTCGTCTTTCCCTATCGATTTTTCTTTTCTCTTCTCGTTGATATAACTCGTCATCTTCAGCCATGTCGAAAATAAATCCTTTCCCGTGTCGTTCTCATTGCTGATAATCCTCTCTGTGCTCTCTCATTGACAAATATCCGCGTAATGTGACTGACAAAAGTGAAGGAAACCACTTCTCTCGAGACGAATGTAGGCATCGAATCGCCTCGCGAAGGCAGTTTTTGGGAGATGTAGTAAAAGGGGGGTTGGGGAGGGGGGGTGTTTGGTCATCGAAATGAAGAATGGTTCGGAGAGAGTAAAAAAAAGAAAAGGGTTTGAACGAGATGTTGCCTTTCTTCCTCGTGGCGTGATTTGGGTGGATGGGGGGCGGTCCACTGGGTGGATTCTGGGCGACTTGGTTTAGGGGTTCTGTTTTTCCCTTTGCAAAGGCAGCTTTTCACCCGGGGAAGTCACACGACCAATGACTCTCTCTGCTTTTCAAGTCTCCCACCCGGAACACTTGGGGTATTCATTGCGACTTTTTCACGGGCCGGATGGGAGGCTTGGAATTTCTGATCTGGGTAATGACGTCCTGCGCCTGGGTTGCGATAATGTCCCCATACCTGAAAGCACTTGCTTCATTTCATGTCTGCCTTTCTCAAGTGCTTTCACAGCATGCTTACAGGTCGGGTCACTGGCCGTGGGGTTGAGGGCGGCACGGCGCTCAGCTGAACAGCTTAACCTTCAGAAAGGATGGGCGGCGGCACCTCTCGCAGCCGACGTGGGTAGCAACGGTGACGGTGGTCGTGCCGTTGGTGGTTTCAGTGGTTTGCGTGTGAGCATGCCGGTTGGGGCACTGCAGGGTCGGTCTGCGCGGTTTCGATGACGTAAGAGGAGAGGAGGTCTCTTCGATGGCGGTGGAAGAAGCACTGGCTTCCTTTAATTGTCAGAAGTCCTGCACGCCCGTCTCGCCGGTGATTCTGGGGGTGGCGGGGCCCGAGTGTATCCAGCTGGGCTCCTCTTCGTCGAAGTACTGCTCCTGGGTGTCGCGCTCCTCCTCCTGGACGTCATCCCACTCCTCGCTCTCGTCGACCTCCTCGTAGCAGAAGTCCGGGTCGTCGCCGCGCAGGAAACGCTGGCCCATGTCGTCGCGCCATCGCGCGAGGCCCTCCTCCTTGGTCTTGATCTCGTCGTCGCTGTCGTCGTCGATGGCCAGGATCTCGCCGTTGGGCCCGCGGCGGACGGCGATGGACGAGGCGTCGGGGTTGTGCAGGGCCTGCAGCTTGGCTTCGGAGCGCAGCAGATCGGCCTCGAGCACGCCCGAGTAGCCCTTCGCGCGGCCCTCGGCCTCTCGCTCGGCGGGGGTCTGGAAGCGGCGCACCAGGCGGTCGTACAGCAGGGGGTCGGCCAGCTCGAGCCCAGACGAGAAGTACTCGGGATGGGTGTCGAGGTAGCGCTTGCGGCGGTTCTTGACGCGGATGCGGTGGGCGCGGGCTTGGGCGTCGTCGTCGGGCTTGAGGTCCTGAGGGGCGCTGGCTGGGGCGGCGAAATTGCGCGACGACAGAGGCTCGCTTGCGGTATCGATCTGCGGTGCGGTGGGCTCCTCGACGTGCATGCTGGATTGGCCGGCGGGGCCGAGGAAAGGCATTGGGGGGGGAGGAAAGGAAATGGGCGAACGAGTGACGGGGCGGTGGGTGGGATGATTCGGGGTGCGGCGGGAGAGCGGCGGCCTTTTGCAAGAAAAACGAGAGACGGCGGACCGGTGAGGAGCAGAAGCGTGTCGAAGTGAAGTGGCGCGTGGAGCAGCTCTGGCACCCGAAACGGGCAAAAAGGGTAGCTATGACGCCCATCAGCTGCTCGCGTGCGGCAGACCCTGCGCAGCCCTGGCGGCGCCGGCAGTGGGGCGCGCAGCAGGCAAGCGTTTCACCCAGCACCAGCATCCGCGACAGCCCTGTCACCACGCGCTGCACGGCGCAGCTCAGCGACAGCCATGTCCGCCTTCACCCAGCGCCTGTCCGGCGCCGCCAAAGCCGTCTGCACCTTCTTTGTCTACTTCTACCGCATCCTCTGCTGCCGCCTGTAGGCCCCGTGCCGACCACGCCCGACCACGCCCGCCCACGCCCGCCCACGCCCATGCCCGCCCCCGAGCACCGCATTGCCGCATTGCCACACTCGCCCTGCAGAGCGCCAGGTGTCCCGTTCGCGTCCCTCATTTTGCCGTCTCCAGCGTCGCCAATCACCACCCACCCTTCCATCCTCAACCCACTGCCGTCTCCGCAGCCACCAGGAATCGTCGGCGCTGGTTCGCCCCTTCACACTCCGACTGCCAGCCCCTGAGCCAATCCGCGCTACCCGCCGCACGCCATGCCTTCTAAGCCCTCGGCAGCCCCCGAGCCCCCGGCCCCCGCGCGCCCCTCGCCCTCGTCGCCTGCCCAATCTGGAAAGAGCCATGCCTCACGCTCGCCCGCCGCCGCCATCCTCAGGGCCACGGCCCTCATGGCCGCGGCCGGCCTCGCCTCGACCGTCTCGCAGCTCAGCCTGTCTCCGGTCTACGGCAGCATCCCCGCCGCCATCTGGCATCAGAAGAGCTTGATGTTCACCGCGCTGGTCGTTCTGATCAACAAGACCGTCTTCCAGCGCATCTTCCCCGCCAATGTTCACGTTTGGGTTCCCATTGTGGCCTTCTGGACCCTCCCAGTCCAAAGCCTTGCCTTCCACTACAGTTCTGTCCTTGGCCCCGTCTACGGGCCCGTAGTCACTGAGCTCCTCACCTTCTTTCCCTTCCTCCTGCTGGCGCTGTACGCCGCCGTTTCTGCATTGGACGTCCTAGATCTCAGCTTGTTCAGCCCTGGCTTCGCCCAAGGCATTCCGCCGCTGGCGTGCTATACCACTTTCTCTACCGTCGAGAAGTTCGTCGCTGGAGCCCTGCCTGCTTATATGGGCTCCAATGAATTCTTTACAAGGTCTGGCTTGCAATTATTTGTGGCTGTTGTTTCTGCTTCTGTGGCTCCTTCTAAGTTCTTGGTGCTTGCCCTGCCCGCAATTCTCCACACCGTTCGCTTCAACCCTCATTTCCCCAGCGCCGTCACCACCGCTGTCTTGAACGAGACGCTCCACGCAAACCAGTACACGCTTCTGGAGCGTCGGGAATCCTTGACCGGTTACGTTTCCGTTATTGAGAGCCACGAGAACCAGTTCCGCTTGCTGCGCTGCGACCACAGTCTACTGGGCGGCGAGTGGCTCGTGAGCCCGGAGCGCCACGCCATCGGACAGACGCAGCCCGAGAGCATCTACACCGTCTTTACCATGCTGGAGGCCGTGCGTCTCGTCATCACCGGCGCCGTCAACAACCAGCGCCCCGACTCCGCCAAGAGCGCGCTCAACATCGGTCTGGGCATCGGTACCGCGCCGACGGCGCTCATCAAGCACGGCATCAACACAACCATCGTCGAGCTCGACCCGGCCGTGCATGCCATGGCGACCAAGTACTTCGCGCTGCCGACCAAGCACACCGCCGTCCTGCGCGACGCCGTGGCCTACGTCGGCGAGACCGCCGCCTACGCCCCCGCCAGCTTCGACTACATCATCCACGACGTCTTCACCGGCGGCGCCGAGCCCACCGCCCTCTTCACCCTCGACTTCCTGCAGGGCCTGAAGACGCTGCTCCGCCCCGACGGCGTCGTCGCCATCAACTACGCCGGCGACCTCCGCCTCGCCTCGACCCGCCTCGTCCTCAACACCATCCACGCCGTCTTCCCCTCCTGCCGCATCTTCCGCGACCAGGCCAAGGACGAGGCCGCCTCGGCAGACGAGATGGACTTCATCAACATGATCGTCTTCTGCCGCCCCTCCAAGACCCCCCTCCACTTCCGCCAGCCCGTCGACGCCGACTTCCTCGGCAGCATGGTCCGCCGCCGCACCCTGTACCCCACCAAGGAGCTCGAGGTCGCGTTCACGCCCGACGACGGCGCGGACCTGCTCACCCCCGACACCGTCGGCGTGCTGGAGGAGGGCCACCGCGAGAGCGCCGTCAGCCACTGGCGCATCATGCGCACCGTGCTGCCCGACAAGATCTGGGAGCTCTGGTGATTCAAAAGACCGGCCGGCCGGCCAGCCAAAAAGCTTTTTCTTTTTCCATGAGATGAGGAAAGTACCTACCTAACGGTGCAGAGGTTTGGAGTCGAGCGGTCGTGGAGCTTTTTGCGTTTCACGGTCGCCGTCTAATACTATATGCATTCCTTGTCGATATATCATTGATTGATTATGTAGTTGGAGGAGGAGGCTGTGCCAAGGCCTTTAGGATATTTCTTCTGCATGTATGTATGTACTTCGGCAGTCTCAAAAAAAATAACACAAAAGAAGTGGTCTTCTTTCAAACCAAGTGCTCACAACGAATTTCCAACGTTTTCTCAACCTTTTTCCTAGCTAGGTAGACTCATGTCTCTGCTCACCCGTGCACTAATGAAAAAAAAAAAGAATTGGGTCATACGGCCCAAAAAATCATGGAGGAGGATCACGGTCAAATGGTACGAGCTGATCCATCCCATCGTCCAACGATCTTCGGAATCCACATCAACGAAACGCGCACACACACTCTCCCTTCCGGTATCATCAGGCAGTGCCACGGTAATCTTTTTTGCTTTAGGTAAGATCCTCCCTCCTTCCCTCATGCCCTCTCCACTGTGAACAAGATATTTGCTTCGCGTCCTCAGTCAGGAATCTCTCGTAGTCAATGAAGAAGTTCATATACGATTCCTTCCCTTCCCTTCACGGGGGACGACGGATGGAGACGAAGCCATATATACATCTGTCTACGTCCTGGTCTGTCCTTCAACTACCTCACTTGGGAAAAGTGACTGTCCAAGCCCACATATCCGCTCTACACCCAGTTACTCGCTTCGACTACCCATGCATGAAGGAAGGCAGAAATCTACATTGTTGTCCAGATGTTCGCTTCAACTGCGCTTTCGGACAAAGTTTGGTCTGAATTCTACATAGGCCGGCACCCGTGCTGTTTTTTTTTTTTTTTATGGTTTTGTGTTGGGCGTAGCCCCGGATGAGAACAAGGAGTTTCCCAACCAACCTCTACAACTCCTCAGAATGCTCTGAGGAGGAAGTAGAGGCGGCGGAATCCTCCTCGTACTCACCCGAGGGCTGCGCCCCGAGGCCGTCGACAAACTCCCTCACCCCCACCATCCTCTCCACCCTCTCCAGCCTCTTCTGCATGTCCAGCAGCTGCTGGCGCAGAGACGCGTTGTCGGCCGTCAGTTGGTCGACCGTGCGCTGCAAACCGTCAAACTGTTGACGGTCCTGCGCCAGCAGCTGCTGGCTGCCCTCCTCCTCCTCCACCTTCTCCTCCTCCTTCTCCTTCTCCTCCTCCACCACCTCTCCCTCCTCCCTCTCCTCCTCCGCCACCACCACCTCCCCCTCCCCCTCCTTCTCCTCCTCTTCCTCCCCAAACAGCTCCAAGGCCTGCACAAGGAGCGCCTCCGTCTGCTTGTCCCCCTCCACCCCACCCCTCTCCTCCCCCTCCCCCTCCC